TTATCTGGCTTACAAATACTGTGTAAATATTTAATATTTTGCGCTTAAGGGAAAATACGAGGATTTTTGACAACGCCTTCAATCATGGTTAACATTTCTAATTCTTACATTCCTTGTGTCTAGTTAATGCATGGATTCCATCGAGAACTTTCTTAGTTGACGAAATGAGACTTCCGAGCAGATCAAAAAATTCGCGCACAGGTCACACCATAGGTGCATCATTGTTTAAAAGTGAGAATCTCAGTTTCAGAGGCACTTCACTAACAGGATGTGAATGCTAAGAACTAATATATGTTGTGATTAACCTTTATGATATCTTCGCAACTAACGCCAGATACATAGGGTAGGGTTACTTTTTCAGGTCAATATTGTCAACTGATTTCTAATCATTGCAACAGATTATTCACTGATTCATGTAATTCACAGTGGATTTTAGGAATTCACAAGTAAGGCTATTACAGGTAACATGAAGTGGTAGTGTACAGGAATTCTTGTTTTTATCAAATAACTGCAGTTAACTGGCTTACAAATATTGTGTAAGTATTTAATATTTCGTGCCTAAGGGAAAGAAAAGGACTTTGGGCGACGCTTTCAATCTTACTTAACAGTTTCATAAAGTATCCTGAGTTCATTCACTTCTCACATTTTTTGTATCTAGTAAATTCATGGATTCTATCGAAAACCTTCGTAGTTGATGAAATGATGTTAGCTTAAATTTTTCATGGCTGAAGACTATTTACTGAGGTTATTTAAAGCTATATTTTGTTAACAATCATCTCTCCATGTGTTGGGATATTCGGATAAGTACTTTTAATGTGATCAATTGTAGCTACTCTTAGCTATAACTGGCCATACATACATTTAAATGAATAAACACAATGGGACGTCACTTTATCTTTTACCTGTTCAAAGGGCTTTGATGGGAATATATGCTTCGACTTCTCAATTATCCGAACCTAAGCTGGATAATAGGTAGTTATCATTCTCTGTCCTACACTTCTTAACATTCTACTATTCTGTAATACATCCACTCGGTTGACAAGTGAAGTAGTTAAACATGGATAATCAGCTCTGATTTATTTAAAAGAACAAAAGAAGTCATGAAAACCACATTCTGGATGACCCTGAGAAGGGCCTTAGTTCGTTCACTTCCCATCAGGAAGTAGAAATTCACTTCCAGTGCAGTTTGTCGTCATCTATCATCTGAAAGTGAGGTGGGTACATCTGTGGGAGTCAAAGAAGCAAATTACCTGTTTTTTACGAAAATCCCTCTGTCACTGATATTACCTTCCTACAAAGGGTTGCCTCAACATGCGGGGCATTCTTAACAAAAGCTTCGTGGGTGTGGATTCCATGCCCAGGATATGTGGAATGTTGCGTGACAACAACATGCTCTCCGTGTGCCGGCATGTGGAGTGGAGGTTAATGCATCACTTTGGAAGCAAACCTCACAAACTCCTCTGCAGATATAATCCTCCTCTTCGTTTACATCTACATGGTTCATCTCCTCAGAGTACCGCGTGACGAACTCCATAACTCCTTTTTGATGGTCCACAGTGGTGTCTAGGTCCACGGTTAAGTTATTTCCTGGATGAGTAATTGCTGTTATAGGTGACTGCGAAATTGCTTCAAATGGAGTTATTAGTCCTCCACCGTGACCGTACTCACAGCTGCAGCCGTCGCGTTCATTTCTTCGGAACCACATGAAAAACTGTTTCCTGCGAGATGTTCTGGACTTGCGTCTACCGGAATGCGTGTCCTGTCATCTTAAATTTTCCGTAAAAATCGGAGGACAGTGCAGAATTGCTGTTCATCGTTGAAGAATAGTAAAACTGCCATCCAAAGTTGGCTTCTTGGTGGGAGGAGGGATGCGAGCACAAACTCCCAACAAGAACATTTCACGGATATTCTACGAAATATAAAATCAAAACATCCAGAAGTGACCTTCTTATCACACTACCTGTTGGCTAGTGTTTACTAGCCTTAAAGCAAACAAACTTGACGTGGGCTCTTCGGTCACCTTGAAAATGTGAACCTCGCACAACGTAGCGCGTGTGCATCTGCTTCTCATATTCCTTTAGGGCATACTTCGAAGACTGTAAGGACGGAAACACGGCGAGACAGTAATGCTTCCTCAGTTTACTCCGTTTTATAGTACTTTTCAATTTCTTGCAACCAGTAACATGGAATGTTTCCTCGTTCATTTTGATTCGACAACAAGTGACATAGGGAGCGAGGGGGAAGGGGTACAAAATAAAAGTTAAAAAAATTATTACCGTCGACCAAATATATTTTCTAGTCTTTGTATTTTTCATTATAAGTTCGTTACCCCCTTCACAACCTAATCCTGGCTCTGTTTGACATAAGCTAACGATTCACTCCGTGTTGCTATGCCGAAGTCAATGTCTTAGTCTGTATTATGTATGTATTCCTTTCTTGCACAGCAGTATATAAAATCATGTACATAGACTAAAAAGCTGATGAGTCCTACTGAAATCTATGAATTCAATAAATCCTGCTTTAATGACGTTTGTTGCTCGTTTTAATTCGATATTTGACTACTTATCAGTAGAATAAATTGATAATGGTATGAATTACGATTTGCAATGGGTCGAACAGTTAATTTAGTTAGAACTTTATGACATCAGAGTATTCTAAAAAGTAGGTATAGCATTTTGAGGAGGACTAAATGTAGGCAGAGTTATGCATGCTACTTAAAATTTGTAATTTTTATAGGCGAGATGCTTTTTTCTTCCGTTTATAACTATACAAATAATTTATTCACAGGTGTTTTTTGTGGAACTAAGATACATAATCTTGTACACAACCTTAGACTTTATGTTTTACTGCTTCTTACATTTTATCATCATGAACACTTACGAAATAAAAAAAACAGGCGATGCGTAGCGTGTTGGTGAAGAAGCATAAACTCTGCAAACCGGAAAAGTATATTAACTGCTTACGTTATAACGAGCACTGTTTGTTCAGAGTTGTTGATAAAATGTAACTTGTTGACCCTGTTATTATAAGTTAGATATCCTGAGTTTTGCGAAATGTAACAACTCAAACTGATCTAGTTTTGTTCTACTTGAAGGAGTTTTATCACTTCGTAAAATCGGAATGTAATTTGAAAAAGCATTCAAATTTAAACGTAGATTTTACTCGTAAAACATGGTTCATTGAAGGACAGACAAAGATTTTTACTAAAAAAAGAATATGGCCTAAATGGAAATCAACATCACCGTCATCATCCACTAAGGTAGAAGTTTTAAATTTCAATTTTTGTTTCATGTCACTGTATGGTCCTGCAATTGACTAATCAAAACAAATATTCAGCTTTTCACCTAATGATTTCAAGTTTCAGTTCATCAAGCACTGATACCAGTTGGAGAAACACTGAAAACCAGAGAGTACTGGACAGGTGTTTCTCCCTGGAATGGGACTCCTCAGAAGTGCGCACCCATGACCGCGCCAGGGATCCAATCCAGGACCTCCACGTTCTGCAGCTAGCACGTTACCATTGAGCCACTGGGTCGAAATCCGGTGGTCCATATTTCCTACATCTGTCAGTTCATGATATAGAGCAACCTCCATCCATTGCCGTCACTAAGTAACTGTCCTCACATCCGAATCGGTTATCTCCACTGGTCACGATTCCTCACTGGAACTTCGGAAATCACCTCTCGAAGTTAGTCACCAAACAGCGCTAGATTAGTTCAATCTGGAAGTTTGTACAGGTTTATTAACTGATTTTAAGTTGTTGGTTTTGTGTGTCCATCAAAACTGTATATAAACGAGGTATTTTCGTCGAATAAAGTGTCTTCCTTACAGTCACATGTTAGTACTTCGCTTATGATTTTCGCAGCTCAGTCCAGCATAAAGATCTGAGGAAGACAGTCTCTGTTCTTATTCAGTCCAAGTATTTCATCCGCGTATTCATTACTATTCACTTGGGACTTCACAAACATGTACAAAACGTTGATCTTTTGTTAAGTCAAGCAGAGAAATTGAAATTTTTATCATGGATGTGTGGTCTATAATGTATAATATGTTTGCGAGTGGAACTCTTGAGAGTATATATTGGTTCAGTTTTGAACTTACAATCTAATGGAAGACATTCGTTTTTCAGAACCAACTTTCGATAATTTAATTTGGGATGTTATGTAAAGGATTTAGAAGAACTTTTGTTGCCTCCACCGACACATGACATTAGAGATGGGTACTAGTAAATTTCTAACTCAGGACTAGCAAATAAATTCCCAGTGTACGTCTAAAAAACATTTCTAGTAGTTGTGTTACCTTTAACATACAAAAGTGGCTACTCATGTTCTGGATTTTTCTGTGTACGAATGACTTTAAGATATGTTGAATGTGTATTCATTCATAATCACCTTGAACGTGGTAGTTTGGTTTTTAGCTTTTGTCCTAATATGTAATTCCTCATGCCCTTACCTAAGGGAGTGCTACTGTCAGTTAAATTCAAATAAGGACATTATGAATCCACAAAAATACAACATGTAGTTTAAATACCGCTTTTACGTCATCTGCTATCACTGTGTAATGGTCCAAGTTATTATATTTCACGTCAAGATATAAGACAAAAGAGAGAAAATTGACATCATTTTAGAATACTTTCTGTCATCGAGAAATGCTCTGCTGCTGTCATATCCCGTACAGCCAGCAATACAACATTGTCCTCAAACCCGCTACATAGAGGAAGTTATTTATGCTAGAGTGGTAACTCGTGTCAGTCTTGCAACAATCCAGCTGACATTCCCGGCATATTAAGACCTCAAGAGACAATGGCGGGAACCAGCTAGCAAAGTTTGTTGAATAATCCGCATTCCACCATCGAATCCAAACCTCAGTTGTTAACATCCTTATTTCTATAACAATAATTTTTGCACATCGGAAATTCCTGTATCAATGATAATAAACTTCTCCAGTTTAACAGACGGTCAATACACCACTACTTTCATTGTGAATTAAAAGTCTGGAATAGCGTACAGTACTGACTAATTTGTAACCATTCAACACATCAATAGACTGACACTGAACTGTTTCCTTGTTGTATAAAAGTACAAACGAGAAAAAAATCTCAACAATATACAAATGAATCTCTAATATTGTAGTAGTAAATAAAGAATGGTAAAATAACATTCCACATGTATCTTTGAAATTAAAATTCAATTTAAAAAATAATTACATTTACATACACTTATCAACTTAATTAATTCAGTAAAACAATGACATTTTCGCTTAAAACAAACAACAATCTAATGAGATCAAATGTTAGAAAATAAGGCGAGTACTTTGGTTGAAGTTCATATTGCTAAAAACATGACTATAAGATAAAGGGTAATGTAAGGAGTATAGAACAAATGATCCAAAATATAAATTAACTTATAAATGTGATTGATATGTTAACAAGAAATAATATATGAAAGGTTAGATGAATAACAGTGGATTAAAATAAGGCATATACACATATTGAAAAACATTAGAGTACAGTCTTCTTGAAGAAAAATAATAAGGGAACTGTTTGGGTAGTTTTTGGACAATAGGTTGTGTGTAATGACGTGTATACACAGACGCCTTAAATTAACTATGAATCGTTTTTATTTCACATACATATACATAGAATTTAAGCAAAAAAAGCAACTGATGGACAAACGTAAGAATGATAAAAAAGATTTGTAGCTCATAATTAGGAAGATGTTGGTTTAGTGTCATCTGAGCTTTGGTAGTTTGTGTCAACAGGCCTCAAAGAGTAAACGTCAAGTTGTATTCAAGTTATTCATGGTATCATTTCAGCTGAAGTTGACACTCTTTGATTCTGTTGTAAGATGCCAACAAAATGATCAAAAGTTGATTCATTTACATTATTTTGTGAATAATAATAGACAGGTGATTTTTTATCGGGATTATTTTTCAATCTCCTTTCTATCGATGACATACCTAAGTGATGAGAAAAACACGGATTTGTACAGCGTTTTTTCTTGCCTTCTGAATTGTTAAGTTTATACATATTTTTGATGCTCAAATCATTATGATTATGCATTTTGTTCAAGTTTATTTGATTCATACCATTATCATTATATGTCATCAATGAAAGTTCAGAATGATAAGAAGGCTTCTTGAATTTTGGATTAAAATACTGGTCATCAACGTCTAAAGCACCATCAGATTCATCAGATATTGTACGTGGACTGCGTGCTGAATGATCCATGTGATAAAGTTTTGGCATTTTTTGATAAGATTTTTGAGTGATAGAAAAACTCGATGGAAATTTACACATAGATTCAGGCATATCTTCCTTAAAAACAGATAATGACAATTGATGCATAGCAAATAAAGACTCATGACTTGCAATATATCGTGTTTTGTTCACATGTGAATGTGTAGTAAAGCGTTTCGGATGATCAAACGAATAAATAGTCGGAATCTTGAAAGAGAAAATTAAAGTTACACGGAATATCAGCAAGATAGCCATAATTTCGAATACTGATATTTTGATGAGTGATGATTAGAGGTGAAATGAAAAACTTGGTCGCCACCTGCCCCGGAAGCCACAGCGACCCAGCTTTTCATTTCATCTTCAATCATCACGCCGTATAAATATGGAAAACTTAGGTTAAAATATAATGAAAGTTCAATTTCATACCATCAATCTACACATTGATAGTGGGATAAAATTTGATGCAGAAAAGAGAGCTTGACTCTGAATAAAATAAGTCACAATCGCAGACCATAGACTACAGTCAGGTATTCCTCCAGCTAAATCATGAGATCTTATAACTAATATACTTCAACCAATATGGTAATGTTATAGCGAATGATGAACAGCCAGATTCCGTTGTTGAAGTTCAAATCAGGTTCCAAACGTCATGTAGCAAAGTATCTGCTTGATATTAATGACGAGCAGTGGAATCCAGGACGCACGTTTTTCACATTTCGGACCCGTCAGATGGATGTACTTGCCTTCCACTGAGTGATATTGTTCCCACTAAGACTGGAACTTGGGGCCAATCGCTTCAAGCGCCATGGCGTTATCCATTGGGCCACCAAGTCACAATAGCCACTTCTTGTACAACAGGCATAGTTTTCAGGTTGTTACTTGGTTTGTCCCGTCACTGATTGGACCAAATTGATCAGTCTCTGTTGGCATATGGGCTTGTGCATGGATGCCTCAATATTGCCTGTGTTTCAATTTTATATCATTGATGAATAGTGGCTTGTAGTTAAATCCAGGACGTGTGTTTTGTCCTATGTGGGACTTGTCATACGATCACATTTTCTTGATAACTGAGGAACCACTAATAATGTGAGTTATCATGTCTGTAGAAACATCGATGTATGTCAACCACAATATCAATGAAAAACCTGGACACAAGTTAAATATTGAATGATTTTGTTCAATATGGCACCTAAACAACCAGGGAAAGTGAACAGGAACTGAGATACATTCATGTTAAATTATAAATTCCTATCATTTGCATACAACCTCTAGAAGTAAAGTCAGTATACAGAAACCAGATATATAAGACACTGTGAATACAAAACTGTCCCGTTTAATATTTCCATAAGAAAAACAAGCTTATAAACTATTGAGATTGGAGTGTTCACCTTCATGGATTGTTGCTATTTCAGTCTAACCATCCCATGGGCTACCCCAAGTAGATGCGCCTGAATTCAGTCATGAAAAGAACAGCTTACCACCACACGTACATTGATGACACATTTGTTGTTGGCATTGATATGAACCATGCAACTACTCAGTTGTTCAGCAAGCTCAACGAGGCTCATCCTATCATTAAGTTCAGGATGGAATATGAGTATGACGAGTTCAGTTTTTTGAACTTCAACGTGAGAAAAAGAAACCTTGGTACGATTGGGAAGACCATCTGTAGGAACGGCACACGAACTGGGCAACACTATAATGACCACAGTCTCTCTCCAGCCAGCTACGGGCGCCGGATAATCAAAACTTATGTTCTGCAGGCAAGTTAGAAGAAGAACTAAACATTATAGTAGAGTATCTCAAAGAGAATGGATATCCAACGAGGTTTATTATGAAGTATCGAAAACAATGGATCGAAAGAACGGAGCATTTAATCGTTAGAAAGGATAGGGCTTTTATTGACCTTGCATTCAATGGAGATGCAGTATCCGAGAGAATAGTCACAAGAATCGAAGAAGCACCAAAAAGAAGCTTGCTGCCAACCAAACGTGTATCAGTATACACAATACTGCATGCTCATTTGACCAGTCCAAATTACATAAATATCTTGCTCATATCACCTACAACTGCATTTATGAATTTGGATGTACCTGCAGAAGCAAGCATATTGGAAGAATTGAGAGGGGGGCATCCTTTTGGTTCACTGACAATATTAAGATGAATATGCGCCTGAAAGAAAGCACGGTTATAACTAGCGCAATTGGCAGACATCTCATTGACACAGAAAATGAGATTAATACCTCTAGAGCTTATGACATAAAAGCTAAATGCACATAAAATGCCTGGATTACTACACTTCGTATAAGCATTTGCTATAATACGCTTTCAACTGGATGTCTCCATACAGCAGGAGAGTGTGATCAATCTTTCACTTCCTTGGTGACTATAATTCGCTCCTGCTTTATTTGAATTACATGAATCGTTATTTTACTCACCCACTAATTTTAAAACAATGAGTCGATCTCAACCTTGGAAATATCATTTCTTTTTTTACATTCCTTACTCCTATGTAGAATTCTCTTACATGTTATATAGATTATCAATGATTTTGATGAACAACTTCAGATTACTAATTTCTTGACCGTAAATTATCTTATGTAGTTGTAATTTTAGACTGTATGCAGCTGAGGAGTATTCATAATAAAATGCCATTTTATTCTGCAAATCTATTCCTGCTTGCTTTGTCCAGCTTTATCAAGGGATTTGAATGCATGAAATTTATTTTATATTGGTGAAACAGCAATTGTCGACACTTTATTCCAACACAACAAATCATGTACTATAGGTTTGAACTACAGCTGACCACAGTGGAATCGGTTTTAAATAAATAGAGATCTGTGCACTAGGCTACTCTATCTCCAACTACTAAGTAAGGACTGTATCAAACGCATATACAAACCAGTGACCTACTGACTGAAAGTTAAGCGACTAGACTAATCAGTGAAAGATTCATCAGGGAATTAGTGATATGGATATAAGTTTGCCTATAATAAACGTTTTTCCAGTACAGATTTATCCATAGTAAATAAATTTCTAAATATAAACCAATATGTATTTCATATCAATCAAAGTAAGCGTAACATAAGCCATTCAACACGTTGACCGTAATCATGAAAATCCTACTCAAGAAAGCCCATTAAAACAACACCAACAACAAGTGTTTGCACCATTCAATGTTGAAAAAAAGACAGAACTCTATGATTTTGTGCAAGTTTATGTACTACACCATAGACAGCCTTACTAATCCTGAATAACAACTTGAAGAAGGTATACACACACCACAGTGTTTGTTCGAAAAAAAATCAGCAAAGATGTATGCCCTAATATAACACCTTTGAAAAAAATATTAGAACAAATAGAAAGACGCCTAACTGGTCAATGCTTTCCATGCAAAATGTTATCCTAACATTTATTTTGAACTTTCGGTCAAAGGTAGTGTCATTCGTATCTTGTTAACTACTATCAAATAGTATCTAGGACGTAACATTTTCCACATTAAACTTGGCAGTAAAATAACAGCTCTATTCTCAATTAGTTCTCGCCTTTTTCCGTAGTAAAAATTGTTATCTTCCCAGTCTTGTCTTTTGTGTCTTTCAGTAGTGTATGAATAGTATTCCAGTTATCAGCATCCATTGTCGAGTGTCAAAGTGCTTTGGGTACATAATGGTAATTCCTCATTTATAATTTATCAGTTAGGAGAAATTCCCAATGAAGAATTGTTCGGCAACATCAGATATTGAAAAAAATCTATCCATATTTTGAATCATGGGATAGTTGTAGTTGTTTTAGCTTCGACTGATGAAGTGTTGAAAACTCTGTGGTGGCTAAAATAATATCCACATCCCACTATTCTAACCCTTGTTATGCCGACTACTATCACCACACAACCACTAGTACTTTTGCCTCAATAGGTTTCAAGAGAACTTCAGATGGTCCTGGGGTTAAAGTTTATACCTTAGTCTTATGCTGGTATCAATAGTGTATACAGAACAGATAATTCTACTAGTCGAAATTTATTTTAGCACAAAGTTGAATAAATATGCACACCCAAAATCCGCAAAGATACAAAGGGGGAGGAGGGGAATGAAGAATAAGAGGAACAAACTCAAGAATGCCCAATACTTTTGCATTTTCCGCCAAAAGTAGAGGAAACGACGAACTTATAGCATAAAAATCACTGCTTTTTGCTCAGAGTTAGATTTGATTACGTCTTCAAGTGAAATTTCCTGACCTTACTCAATTCGTCAAAATACATCAATAGGTTGTAACGTATGACGTCTGGTTATTGCTACGCAGTACAGTATTCCTGTCCACATTCTCCGGAGAAACTGGAAATTTCTCAAAACTAACACAATCAATCAAAATAATTCGTGTAAAACTCAAGCTGGTTAAGATGACAAAAGCAATGAAAAATATCCTTGATGAAAGGCATGAAGATAGCTACGGTAAATATTAAAATGCATACTATCGTATTTTGAGACATTTGCCGTCCTACAGCTACGGAGTGAAAAGTAGACACTAGATATAGGTTATTTTTGTATAAATATATCTTTTCAATAAAATAATTCCAACGTTTCGCTCCGAAGTCCGGTTCGATAATTTTCAGATAAATGATCAAAGACAGATAGACAGAATCAACGTAAAACCTTACTTTGGGTTGATAACAGCAAACTTGAGAAAACCAGACAAGTTTCAGACCTGGTCTAGGGTGCACCATACACACACACACATTCACACAATCTACAATGAGTAGAATAGTAGCAGTAGACAGAGCTGGTTATGTTATGAACTGTCAAAGATCATAATATCATTTGATTATCTGATATAGCTGTAGTTTGGCATACTAATATTTATACTATGTGATGATTGAAGGTGAGATGAAAATTCGGCCATGATTCAGATTTTCATCTCACCTTTAATCATCATTCAGAACAAAGATCATAATAGTAAAACTTGGTGTTCAAAATCATCAGTAAAAGATATTGTATTTTAAAGATAGAAGAGAAAAGTCACGTTAGTTAATCAGACTCAAAATGTGAACAGAGGTTAGAATTAAAAATGGTCAAATGTACCAATATTTTTCTCAATGACTGACCTGAAATTTCCAAATTTAACTATCTGAATCGAACTGTATATCTTCTGTTAGTATAATAAATTAGGGTTTTTGAAATAATCACATACAAGAATGTTAATTTAAATTCAGATATAACGTTATCCGAGTGTATGATTCTCGGATAATTAAGCATAATATATTTTTATAAGTATTCGTGCGACAGACTATTATTACTATTATTTACACTAGAAAGTACTGAGATTGAAACTGCGAAATGTTTAAGTAAGGAACATAATTTTATATTTTGATGTTGCGATAGTGTAAATCGGTCTTGAACTTGCTTGTAGAATTACTGAATAACAGATAACCCTATATAATCTACAACTTACACGCAATTTCGGAGATCTCAGTTGATATACGTTAACGACCTCATTATTCGAAACCTTTATTTAAAAATATGGACGAATTTTTAACTCTCAGAATCAGAATCAACTCAGCAACCTTGTGCACATTTTTGCAGTAAGCAGTGAGCCGCACCTATTGCGTGAAGGCTGATGATACTACGTGGCTCGAACCAGTGACCCGGCGGTTGAAAGTTGTCTCCTTAAATCAGTAAGCCACAACTCCATAACTCTACTCAATTTGTGGCTCAATAGGACATGAATACTGCTGTGAAGGCACCAATGATCGAAAATTCTTAAGCCTTTGTATTTTACCATCAATTAACATGCTTCATGGCCACATCGTGAAACAGAACAAACTATTGTGCAATATGCTCTTGATAGCGCCATAAATGGTGTAGCGTGAAAAATACTAAAAGGTCCAGTTTGAAGGTTTGTAGTGACATGCTTTGAGATGAGAGTTCCAGAAATTCTAAAGAGAAGTCATGACCTGTGGAGTGAACCAAGTTGGACGCGATGACAACCTCTCAAGGCACGATATATAATGAATTGACAGAAGTTGAAAAATGTGAAACATCGGGTTTCGATGCAGTGGCTGGATGGTAATATGCTCACCACGAAACCTGAAGATCCTAGGTCCAATCTTTGGTGGGGTCATGGGTGAGCACTACTGAGTAGTCCCACATTAAGACGAAACAGCTATCCAGAGATTTCAAGTTTTCAATGGTTCTTCAACTGATGTCAGTCCTTGGTGAATAATACCAAGATACCAAAAAGGTCTTTCATATCCGTGATGAAATCTTATCAGCTATCAACACATTAGGGCCTGTAAGACTTCTCAACACGCGTTAATGCAGCAGAGTGAGTGGAACTAATTGGTTAGATATCATTTGAATGTGTATAAAATGGACCAAATAAGACTGATGGATCGCATAAAAAAGGTGATTTTTTCTCAGCTGCTAATCATCACATTTGTTTATGTTAAGTTGTGATGTGAATACTTTCCTCAGAGAAGACATCAAACAATCACTAGATTTAAAGAAGTCTGAGAACAGGTCAATGGAAATAATTTTTAATATGAAGAAACTTTCCAGTAGATGGGCAAACAATGAAATATTATACGCTTAGACAACTATTAAGACTCAGATAGACAATTAATGGACTTCCAGTGTTATCTTAGTTTATTACTGTTCTTTTTAAAATACAAACATGACTTTGGCTTGTACGCTGAAACTTTGCAACAGTTTTACAAATACTTGTTCGATTTACACATATCAGATATCATAGAATGCACGACTAAAAGTATGAACATTTTTATAATGAGAATGTTATCACTACATTTTCTAACGCCATAATGTTGAGTAGAGCAGACAAAGTTATAACTGATGAAAGTGTTTCTTCCACCTGCTTTTGGGCAACTTTAAAGGTCACCCTGGCTACTGCTTAAATAACCAACCAGGTTTTAGTATTTCAGCCACAAAAATGTAGTTTTTCTTAAAATAGAGAAATGTAATTGGTTATCTGTGCAGTTGCTAAAGTGGCCTTTAAAGTCACTCCTGTTTTTCCTTTTGCACAGGCAAATAAAACCATGTGTCATCACTGATAAACTTTACCTACAACTAGGCATTTGCTTCCTGTCTTCACATGACAGATGTTGGACTATATGACTCCCTGGCTAAATACAGATTTCAAAAAAGCAGTTTTAGGACATATTTAATTGAGTTCATAAGCAAGCCTATAGCACTTAGTTCTGGAGGAATAAACCAATACTGATCTGTTATCAGTCGAAACGTTCGAGACGTGTAAGCTCAAAATACTATGAAGACATAACGATCAGAAGTGAATGAGTCATGGGAAAGAGACTTACGACCTAAATGTTCCAAGTTATGGAAACTATTTGTGTAAAAATCCCAATGAACCTTGTGTTCTAGAGAAGCGTATCTCCATAGGCAGTTTGTATTTATACATAAGTCTGATACAAGTACTTAAGCCGTCTGTACATCAGAATTCTATAATAGGATGGCCGAGGTGATACTTTCTCTAAAGTAACTCGCCGACAACTCACAGGCTCATACACTAGATTGAATCAAAACTACTGTGTGTATGAGGGCTGATGAAATTATCTGACTACTTAGTCCTCAGTAGGTGGAACGAAATTACACCCGTGTTGCCACCTATGAAATAAATCCTGACCTCATAGATGTTGTAAAGCTCCACAAATTCACAACTAAGAATTCACAATTAATTGGTACTATTGTGTTGTGAACAAATAATAATTTTTAGCAGTTTAAAAATGGAAAACAATGACAACTGACAGCAGGCATATATGCAGACAGATAAATAGGTATACATAAAGAACTTACTAAAATTTCAGGGGTCAATGTATTCAACACTGAGGTATCCATTAAAAATGAAGAGAAGTCATCAAAACTAAAGGATAGCAAATCTTTTTCGTATAATTTCAGTATTGCCAGAGCTGTATAGAACAGAGCAGATTCTTCGTACACGAAATACAAGTCCCATAATCTCATACTAGTTTCTAAGGGAAGTGTACAACTTGATGTAAAAACAAAATTCAAAGAAAGACAAATTGAATATTACAGGTAGAATTGGATAAGATGCGGTATTATCTTCCAAGAAATACTGAACCATGAGTTTATTCATCGATTATTTCCATTTATTTAACAGTTCAACCAATAGCTTAATGGTCTAAAACTTTTGATGAATTACTAATGAATGATGCGTTTAAACCCTGCCCCAACTACTTAAATGCAAGTGAGTAGTATATGTTAATGAGTACTTTCAGATTAGATTTAGCTTATAGATTAGTACAACAAATCTTTACCGATTGTTTGGTCCATATACCTATAGTGCGGTATCTGTCATCGAATAATTATGGCATGCAGTTTATTCATTATACAATATACCCTGATAAACGTATTTTTATCAATATAATATGATGAGTAAAATTTAAAAAATTATTGATACACTTATTAAAATAATTATAATTATTCCATGAGTGATCAACGCAATCAGTTTACTAAGTAATAAATGTAACACAACTGTACTATTTACTTCTAAGGAATTTTGTATATTTCAGTGCCAGCGATCGCACGATTTCCGTATTATAAATATAAATAGACAAATAACAGATCGAAGTAGAAGACGAGGAATAACCTCTGTTTAAGTTGTTAAACCAATTTTTTGTAAAGAATCAAAGGTAGACATAAACGTACGTATGCATGTAAACGTAAGTATCACCATCGATTTGTGCAAGTGTTGACAGACCCAATACATAACTTTTTATACAACAAACAATCTATCCAATAATGGAGTCTCAAGGTAGTATTCATCGTGAACTGATATCAGCTGGAGAACCACTGGAAACTATTACGCTTATTCCTGAGGAGTTCCATACTATGATGTAACAGCTTCCCAGTGCTCTTGGGTTTTCAATGGTTTTCCAACTGATGTCAGTCAGGGGTGAAATAAATAAAATCCCCATGAACTTCATACTGTAATGAGATTGTTTAGTCTGGCTTATTTAACACGATTCATTAGACAGGAATTTATTTTTCACGCTGTAACAGTTATGCAGTTTGGCAAGATCCTGATAGTTCCATCAGACGTAATAGCACACTTCTATATCGACATATATCTGCACTATACTTTGTAAGTGAATGATGAGACACTAGGAGGGATGAACTGGTACCAAATTGGAAATAAAATAAATGGTGGAATTATAGAATTATGCCATCCTTACGCGACTTTGAAATAACCTTGAAAGCACCAATAGGGGAACGTAATGTGTTCTTTCGGCCCCAGTGTTGAAAAGACGACTTATTCTCTGTTTGTTCTCTGCTTTATGACGTAATAGATACGGAGAACTTAATTGGAACTAAGTGGTGGTGTTTAGGGATTTAAAGGTTATGATTAGGTTTTAAGATGTGCAAGCTATTAATAAAAAAATACTCTAATATGTACCTATTGTTCATAAATTTATCTTTTTTCAAAAACACAGGCAGACGATAAACCCTGTGGAATTAGAAAATAGGGAGAGACGATCATAAGTAAAATAATTCCCTACTATGTAATGGAAGTTAACATCATGAAAATATTGCATTCGCCTATCAATAATCACCAACATCCTTTCAACAACTCAGAACTTCCCAGTACGACTGCACAGTTACCCCAAACGAGATTGGTGTCTTCAAGGTCATTTGTTAGTCATTCATGGACGGCAAAATTCATTAGTATCATCAAATAAACACAGTGATTTTTATCAACTTAATGACGCGTAAAATGATTACTGCATCGTTAACTTGCCAAAAGAATAGTCAAACATTACTAGTTCGCGAAGAAATTAACTTTTGTGCAGTTATCAGTCTTTGGGTTATTACAGCTGAAAAGCAGATGAGACTGTATTTTCTATCAAGGTACTGGGAAACAGTGTCTAACATGATGACGACATGGATTTATAGAAAAACCAAGCTTAGCAAAAAAACAATCGAAGTATTCTTACTTTAGACTAGGAGTGCTTATTGAAAAATATCAAAGGATTTCACTATACACGTACATCCATTCATAATTAAATCCGTTCAGTGGAAATATATATGCACAACAGTGATTGTCAAAGAGTGTACGAAGTCGGTAATGAATAACACTTGATCTAAATTTTTTTTCAGAAAGACAATCATTATTACTACTTTCATATTCTAACGAAATTTATTCGTATTACGACAAGTTCAGATTATCAGTGGACTAAGTATTTATACTGGGTGATGATTTGAAAGTGAGATGAAAATCTGGATAGCAGCCGGACTGAGTATTGTCAAATTAATATGGCGTATATTTCGTTGCATACTTATAATACAAAATATACGAATGGTCTAACAAGAAAACATATACTACAATAATGGAACTAGCCCACCGTAGTTCTTTCGGTAATGTAAAAGAGGGAGGTGATGTGTATATGATGAATGCGAGCACGATGAGTAACCTAGTGAATAGGATGTCTAAATCAATTTAGTATTTATGATCTCAGTTGATCTGAGTGTTCAATCCTCAGAACTACCTTTTCAACCCTTTAAAACAAAAGGCAACGACTCAGTAATTGCAGGGGAAGCAAGTTATATTACAACGGAACCAGTGATATGCACATCCGAACACATTTGCCTTGTGGATTGTACACTAGATGAAAGCAATTAGCCAACGAGGATCGAGCGAATTGTGTGCTTTATCAAAGCGGAAATTGGTGTTTAAAAAACGCCGAGACTGGAAAATAATCGACCGCCTAAAATCACACTTTCTTACCTAAATATAGTGAAAAACCAATCGAATAGAAACATGTTTGTTTCGAAGCCAATTTTTTTGGTATGGGCGTGCAAACGAGGTAGATATTCCTCAAACATGTTATCAAATGTATTAACACATATTAAAAACTATAAAGAGATAATTTGAGAAAGAATTATTAACCAGTTATAACTGGATTCATTTAAACGTGAATAAGAGAACTTTATTGAAAAACAGACGAATAACTTACTTGGGATCATTTGCCAGAGTCTATAACGATAAATATTGTAAATCACACTTTTGTGAGAAAAATTTGGCAGAGAATGAATGATACTGTTAGTTGGATGGAGACAATCTGCAGGAAGCCCCCGACTTAGATTTCGTGCTTTTCGGCACTCATCAGCAAGGCGTATCTGCAACTCTGACGGAACTGATGTCCCACCTAAGAGTGGAACCCGTGTCACCCAGTGTTGGAGTCAGCGACGTTACCACTGAGCTAGTTGGGCCATGACTGACGTGCTGCAGGACTGGATTAGACACATTGATTGGTCACTAAAGGGCAAGCAACTCTATGTTGTCTAGTCCTAAGTGCTGATCGAATTCTATCGATCATTTTGCAATGTAGCCACCATACTAGGCAGCTCAGCATCGCGATGCATTTTCGTAGATGTTAGTCAGATGGAGGTAGTCGAGGCTGCAAATATGCCTTGCTAACAAGTGCCAACAAGCACAAAACCTAGGTCTAGGGTTTCCTGCAGATTGCCTCCATCCAAATAACATCTATGAAAGTGCATTGAGATGCTGAACTGCCTAGTATGGTGGCCACGTGGTAAAATGATAGGTAGAATTCAATCAGCACCTCGGACTAGACAACATAAAGTTGGTCACCCTTGAATGACCAATCAATGAATGAGAGATACTCTTATAAAAGCATTAAATGACAAATGTAAGTTGTTTCTGTTTGACTGCCAATATTTCTGGATGTTTGAACATTGATCAGTGGAGCTATGAATCACTTTTAGTTATAAATGGAAACCAATGAAGCCAGTAAGATGTAGGGTGGCTAAGACCAAATGGATACTTTCTATACACAACTACCATTCATTTTATGGCACAATGTCCCGTCCTTCACTTTTATTCATTCATTGAAAGCTCTGGGAAATAAGGTACTTCTCAATGCATCCATGATCTGAAAGAAACTGGACCAACCAACAAAGACTGAATCGTTGCGAGTTTTACATCCTCTGAAAAGCCAGATACAGTCAGTAGCTTGGATGGGAATGATAGAAGGTAAGAACACCAATGTTTGACACACAACATGTGTGTATATTCATTGATGAGTATAATAGTTTCCTCATTACATGGTAATTCGATGGTCTCAGATTGTTGTAACTTCAACAACATGGTCTGAATTATATTAAATGTAAATCAACAACCAGGAACAGGCTCCTGTACTAAACAATAAGCTAAACCTATTATGACAGGGTAGTGGGTCCGAAAGAATCGTTATGTGAGGGCGGTTTTTGAACTGTATATCACCGATAAAAAATTGACTACCCAGTTCAACAATTTGCAGAATAGGGTTTGATACCCAACCAATACCACAATCCCATTAATATAATGCATCACGTGTTTTATAGTGTCTAAGTACTTGGATTTTCTTTTGCATGGATAAATGAGTGAACACCAACCAACTTGGCAGCAAACGAACCAAAGTCGATTTTACTATTGATGTATCAATTGAATTGGCCTCAGACATGCTTCTTCAATTGTTTCAGACGGTTTGGAAGATTACTGACCAGTACACTACATCGTTTCACTAACAATAAACCTCTTAACTGTTGATATCTCTGATAAGTTGAGACAGTTTCTGGTTACTTTCAAATCAGTTGATAGGAATTTAATTAACTAGTAGAGCTTTAAATCCAGAGTTCAACTTGACATCTACTCTAAGAAGATCTTATGTACTGGATACATATTGAAAGAACTCTTTTGTCCCATTGAGCCTCACTAGCACATAATCGTTTATAAAGTGACGCTGTTTTAAAATAAGTAATTTTTAGACACTTGAAATGACCTTCCGTTCTAAGCGAACAAGACAATACCAACTTCCTATATCAATCAAGTGCAGGTGTATTACTTAGGTACCAGAGGCATAGTGCTTAAAAGACAAAAGACTGTTGATTTAATTTCACGTCCTATGTCTTTTTATTTACAGAAGGCCAGAGAAAGAAACTATTTATCAACAGGGGATGACTAATATGACACAGTGACACGTTACCAATGACTTACACCGTCTATCAGACTATGAACCATACCTTAGTAACATTAATTAACAAAATGAACATTTATACAACAAAAGAAATGGATGTAACTCACCTTTTCTTCATCTACATTGTAAAATGCCTGATGACATGGTTTAGCTAAGATATTTGCAAACATTACAAATGCATCATAGGTATTATCCAAAACTATCAAGAGTATACCAGCTATGAATGACATGCCTGGCACATAACCAACTTCAGGTTTATAGGTGATATATGCCGCCAGTAAATCGTGCAATTTTTCATGATAGGGATTACCAAACTGGAACAGACTTAAAGTCGGAAATGTTTGACACACATCAAACTTAACAGCAGGTAAATTTACAACATCATCTGCAAAAGAATATATATGTGGGAAACATGTATTAAAAACTAATGGTGTTCCATGCTTAGCTAGTCTATTAATGCATGGATTAGTAGTCTCATGCAAAAAGTGTCAATATGATGTTACTTCTAATATCCCGTCGTTGATTGAACTGAATTGATCGATCTCTATTAGTATATGGGTTCACGTGAGGATGCCTCAATATCGCCTGTTTCAATCTTATATTAGTGATAGATAGTGGCTGGCTGGCTAGCAGTGAAATCCAGGGCACCGGCTTCGTCCCATTTGAGACTCGTCAGCCGGACGTACCTGCCTTCCAGTGGACAATGTTGTCCCCACTAGGACTCGGACTAGGGACTGGTAGCTTCAAATGCCACGAGTCATGATAGCCACTTCCTGTGAAATGGGCATAACTTTCATGGGAAAGTATCACTTACTGGGAAGTAGATACATTCAGCTGACTGGTCTCAAATAGGGCAAAACGCGCGTCCTGGACTCCACTGCTAGCCACTGTCCACTATTAAGAAAGTGTTAATGTTTAGCTGATTGAATGATTCTTTTTAGAAGACTTTGAAACCAACTTAAATACCATTTAGTGAGTTGGCTGCACCAGATACAAATAAAACTTTCAAAGACTATGATGATCACCAGTTGTGTAAGTTATTTCTGTCTTTTATTTACAGTGTTCACGTCTCATGCATGATGCTAAGAAGTGTGAAGTACTTAACTTTTCAAAGGTTTCATTAATTGGATCTCACCAGAGGGGCAGCAAAAGTAGGTAAACTTAAACGAAGTATGTTGGTTCGTTACTTCATGTTACCTAGTCCTAAGTGCTGATCAAATTCTATCGATCAGTTTGGAATATGACCACCAGGCTAGTTGACTCACCATCGCGATGGACTGGCATAGATATTAGTTGGATAGAGGCAATCGGCAGGAACCCAGTGGAAGTAGGTTTCCGGCTTTTTGGCACTCGCCAGCAAGGTGTATCTATGACCTCGATGGACGTGATGTCCCACCCGAGACTGGCACTTGCATCACCCAAACGTTACCACGTCTCTGACTGCTGTAAATTCAGACCAATGAGAGTAGATGTTTTTAAAGCTCTCACTGTACCTATAAAGTAGATGAATATGGGTCTTAAAATCACAATTTATACTCAACTGATAGACAACTATTGCGTAACATAGTATGTCAAGAAAATCAATAATTTTTAGTTTGATAAGTTCTGAATATCTGATTAAAGATTGACAGATGACATGCATCCACGCACGAATTGATATCATGAATCCATTTTCTCTTGTTGATGACATTTTAAACTAAACTCTTAAGTGATTTTTTCAGTCATGACTTTGAAGTAGACTGTACTAAACTTTTAAGAGGCCGAATAGCAGAATGATCAAAGTCCATGGAGACAAAACACTATAAGTTTATCACATGTTTCTAGATACTGTATTCAGGGCCTCTTGTTGATTGATTCCTAAAAAATAACACCAAACTGGAGTGGATCATAATATTGTGTCATATAGTTTAGTCGTCATACTGTAGTTTTGATCGGTAAACGTTGATCAGTGCTATAAATTTGACAACTGCCTTGGTTAGCATCCAGTGATTAATCTGTGTACTGCATTAGTAAATTCGATCAGCATTTCGCCATATCGAATGCGTTTCAACATCAGCTAGTAAAAATAGTCAGTATTACTCAACAGTGCGGCTATGCTAGTTGGAGTAAATAAAAACTAGTGAAGATTTGAGAAGACCTGAATGGTGATATAGTAATGTATCATAAATACAGTTAGATAGTTTTACCGGGTAGGGGAAGTATAGAAATGCCGTAGTGTGGTAAACCTCAAGTTTTCAAAAACCTCGAGACTGGTCAACTTCATTGCAAACGATTATTAGTTAATGTAGCTCAACTGCTTACAGGTGTTCTTATACTAGGCTATAAACAAGACTCATAGTATGAAGACTAATGTTCCTACTTGGTAGCGCATGTTTCAATAACTGGAGCAGGTTTTAACTTGGGACCTTTTATTATAGAAAGTCAAGCGATTAAGTTTACAACGAGCCGTATCTCCATACCTTTTGAACAGCGCTGATATCAACACAAGGAAGTGGTCATTCATAAGTGAAAAACTAGAAGCTACTCTTGTTAAACAGACCATTTTGATCGAAGAAAAACAAACCAACATTTCATTTCTTTGATGTGGAGTTAATAAGTGGCGCACCCAGACAGATTTAGCTAGACATTGAGCTACACAGATGACCTAGCGTTTGAGTTTGATAACATATTTATAAATAAGGAAAATAACTAGTTTTACAACCATCAATAAAAAACATTTTCAACTACATTAGAGAACCAAGATCTTAGAAGACAACACAGCAAACAACTGACCACCTCGACCAGAAGGCAGATTCTCAGAAGAAAAAAAATCTTATTTTTATCAAGTTGGTGTTCATCATGGACTGACATCAGTTGAGGGAACGCTAGAAACCTAAGAGCACTGGACAGCTGTTTCGTCTTAGTGTGGGACTTCTCAGCAGTGCGCACCGACGACCCCACCAGGGTTCGTGTGTCAGGCGGTCGTGCGTGTTTTTCTGCTTGGCAAAGTGGATGAGGCCCGCGGGTTTGAACCGCTGACCACTCGGTCTGCAGTTGACTGCTCTACCGCTGATTCGTAACCCCTGGGTTCGATCCCTGGTGGGGTCAGTGGTGCGCACTGCTGAGGAGTCCTATGTTAGGACAAAACAGCTGTCCAGTGCTCCTAGATTTCCAACACTCCTTCAGCTGATGCCAGTCCATGATGAATACCAACTGGAAAAATCTCGAAATCCCCACAAACCCCCAAATTAAAGAAAATCTGTTAACATACAAGAAGGTGAAGATATCTAAGTTAGGGTTGGGATTGCTGAAGTAATGCAGACTTCTTATAGCTTACGAAACTGGATTTCTGACAGTACAAACCACAGCTAGGATGTTTGATTTTGCTCTATAAAGAAAGGAAACAAGAACCTTTCAGGTCTTCAATAAGCACCTACATCGAAATATTTGAATGTACTAGTCTAGGACAATTTGCTGCAAAAGGCATGGAATAGAGGACTAGTCAGGTGTTGAGATGCTGAAAGTGTGAAGCTGAAACACTTGATACACTTCAAAAGGCCTTCACAAGTAAAACAAACCCCAAATTTTAATTACCAAGTATTCGGAAAAAGTGGGTGATTATGAATTATGTAGTTTTCTAATGTATTAACGGATGTCATAAGTTTCAGACTGAACTGGAAGCAGTTGAAAAAAGCTAACCGACAGAAATGTAGGCATGGTACTCGTTGGTATCCTGTCTTCCAATCCACATAGACATTGGCCAAGTCGATCAAAAGGAATAGAAAATAATGAATATTTTTCAGTCAGCATACTTTATTATGTCCAAGTTAGTTGAGAATGCAACTTGAATTAGTCAGTAAAAATCTCTATCCTTAGAAATATAAGGAAGTACATGATTGGAGATGGTTAAAAAAGCAACAAGAATAAACAGAAAGAGTGATTTTTACCTGTTACACTAAATTGCTCAAATTCGAAAATATCCAATTTAGAAGAGTCATCTGGGAAAATGGTTGATTTATTCAAAGAATTCCTATCAGACTGAGATGTTTTCACCAAATTACCATTGTATAATACAAGTTGGTCAGTAGTGCAAGCACGTGTGAATTCGCGTTTGATTGGTATTGTATTCAGTCTGCTAAAAATATAATTGCATACATCGCAACAAGCTGCATTATCTTTTGAAGTTATTGAATCGAGAGATGAAGTTGAGAATATGTGATTTGCACATTTTGATTTATTATAGTTGAAACTAGTAGATCGTTGATTAGCATTTGATACCAGATGACGTTTACTTTCACTTAAACAAGCATTGAATAAGTTTCTAGTGATTCCAAGTTTGTCACCAAGAAGTAAAGACCATACCTTTAAACGAAACAAATAAATGAGGAGTTGAAGAAATAGAGTTGTCAGTATTCTACTAACATTAACGGTACTAGAAACGTATTGTAGTCCATTAAAGATTATTTCATAGTATTATGATGCATAGGTAACGTCAACGAACTTGGTCATCATATCTACCAAGAAGGTATGTACACACAACTGCTGGTAAATTAGATTTTTTAACTCAACACGTTATATGTATTGGACTATAAGCTACACTTATTATATAACAGGTCATGACATTACTTGGTAACCTAATCCGAAGTAATTGTTGACATCTGTTGCTTGAAAGTTGACTGGTTAAACTAATGAATCCCATTTTTAGTTACTGAATGATAAATTACTCACTAAGAAACTGGATGTTTCAAAGCTCAACCACAGATTGGGTCGTAGGAAAGCACCACTGAATCTTAAACTGCTGGTGAATGGGTGGTTCTTCCTATTAGGTAGTTGACTTCCAACTAGTGTGTCACAGCAGTGTTCTGAATTCAAGTCTCGATGGGAATAACACCACTGACTGGCGTGCAGATAAATCCAGCTGAAGAAACGTGCATCCTGGATTACCTTTTTAGCCAACAAATAAATGACAGTATAACTGAAACCAACATTTTAAGTCGATAAACGATGGAGTAGAAATTTTCGAGCTTCAAATTTTGATCTATGATTCTGTGTAGTCAGGATAAATCTTATTAGACAATTTCCTATTTCAGTGAGCCAATCAGGATAAGTTATTTTATCTTTGACCTAGTTCATTCTTGTATCTTCTGCACTCAGCATGCGGAACAAGATCCGGATTTTTAACACCAACGTCAAGTCAGTGCTCCTGTATGGTTCAGAGACTTGGCGCGTCACGAAAGGGATTTCCAATAAACTACAGACATTCATCAACAATCGCTTACGCTCGCTACTGAAGATCAGATGGCCAGAAAGAATAAGCAACAAGGAACTCTGGGAACGAACCAACCAAGAACCTATCACCCAACAAATATGCAGGAAGAAGTGGAGATGGATTGGCCATGCACTGAGAAGGCCGACTGAGGACATCACGCGTCAGGCCAGTTGCTCGAGTGGAATCCCCATGGGAAGCGACGAGTTGGACGTCCGAGGGTGACATGGAGGAGGTCGTGCGAGGAGGAAATGAGAGCCTGTGGGCTGTCGTGGAGCCAGGTTCAAAAGATCTCAGAGAACAGAGGTCACTGGAGGCGTGCTACTGAAGCCCTATGTTCCACTAGGAACCCAAGGGACTAATAATAATATAAATAATAATAGTTCATTCTTGTGATTGTGAAAATTATGTAGGTATATATATATGGCTTCCGCTTTATTGTAGCTTACTTGGTAGCTACTAGTGGAATCCAGAAGGCATGTTTCTTCCTATTTGGAACATGTCAGCTGGGTGTACCCGCACCCCAGTGAGTGATGTTGTCTCCATAAAGACAGAAACCTACCATTCAACCTGGGATTTTCATTTTAGCCACTTCCTACCAAAAGCAACTGTTTTGAAGAGCAACTTTTGAATACTGCATAAGTTTGTTTATATTCTTTATAAAATAACACAAATATTAACAATAATCTAATGCTATCGATAAAAACAGTAAATTTGTGATGTAAAATACTGTTAGACTGGCATGGTTGTGGGTGCCTACTGCTGAAAAAGTTGGCCAGCGCTCGCCAGTCTTCAGTGGTTCTCCAATTGATATCATTCTGTGATGAACACTACTTCAAGAGTATTCTTATACTATACGACAAAATATTAGTTTGATAAATAAGCATTCTAAGTGTCTCTTCATTTACCAAACCAAAATGAAGTCATAATAACAGCTTAATCATATGTACTGTATAAGTTCTATTTCATAACACGCTATCACATGATAAGAACATCTGCTTTAAGGGTAGTTAACAGTACCATCAAACAATGGGATCATAGTCGACATAGATAAATCACTGTAAATGAATATGCAATTAAAATGCACGTATGCAATTATAACGGTTTCTATGGCAAATCTGATCTCAAAATAAGTTATGTAGCATAAACATACATACATACATACATACATACATACATACATACATACATACATACATACATACATACATACATACATACATACATACATACATACATACATACATACATACATACATACATACATACATACATACATACATACATACATACATACATACATACATACATACATACATACATACATACATACATACATACATACATACATACATACATACATACATACATACATACATACATACATACATACATACATACATACACACGGTGAATAAGTTTCAGCTACAACCAAAGATGAAATAAGCTAAAGAATTCTTTTTCTACAGCATTTTGTGATCACTCCAGACTCCACTTCAAGGGTCAATCAATATATTTACATTCTGATTCAGTATCTCGGTCCAAAGCCAGAACATAAATGGTGGGACTGAATTGTAAATACAATAAATGCATATGAAAAAACTGAATAAAGATAAACAATAAATAGCCTATACTGGGCTACCACTGAATGTAGACCCCGGCTGGATTCCAACCCGCGACCACAGGTTTCCCGTCCCGGTGCTCTACCAACTGAGCTACGAGGTGCAACTGCTGACTGAAGTGAAACAAAAACCTGCTCGCTAGTCAGGACTCATAACCCAGTTGGTAGAGCATCGGGCAGGAAACCCTGTGGTTGCTGGTCCGAATCCCACCGCGGTTCAAACTTTCATTTTACCTTCAATCATCACCCAGCATAAATACTAATCTGCAAAACCATGGCTATCTCAGATAGTCAAAATGATGATAAATAAGTTAACTAACTGTGGGACCAATTTTAAAGTGCAAAATCAGAAAGGAAACTGCAGTATGATGCTTCATCCTTTCTATCCATGAAGAAACCAAAGCACGGTATTACAATATGGTGTGAATTTTGTTTTTGTAACTCTGCCATCATATATTTTCTTCATTACTTTATACACTTAGCAATCATGAAATGCAGAAGAAACCTTGTTCACCCGAATCACAAAACCCAGTAAATAGTAAACAGACAAAAAAGGGAAAAAAAACTAGCAGTCGAGTGGATGGAGAGATTGATAATTGAATTTTTGTTCATTAAAACAACACCAAATACATACAACAGGAATAATTTTGCACCTATTCCTGATATGTGGAAAATTCTGCTACCCTAATCAAGAAGAAGGAGAGAGAATTAGAACTGTGTAAGCCACGTCGCAAAGTTGTGGAATTACCTGACGTTAATAGGGACAATAAATTATATCCAAAATGTTATACATTAAATAATACTGTCTCACTGTGCGACATATCTAATAAACGGACTAAAAAAGGGAATACGTGTATGTGGGCAAGATTGTCATTCGTTAAAGAGGCTGTCAAGAGTTGAATTATGCGCCTATCAACTAATGGTGGATCAAAATGAACGGAATGGTATAGATCATAGTAGTTATCTATTTGATTCCATTTTTCCTTGATGTGATATTTGAATGAATTTCGCTCTGGTGAGTTTTTTCTCAGCACATACGCTAAGACATATCACTGGGCTTTTTAAAGATTCTCCACCCTGGACAGTATATCTTTTGTAGTAGCACAGATCTAATGTGTCCGCAAAACTTGGACACCTGAAACTGTATCCACTTGCCTATCTTTCTGACAGTTTTTTTCATTCTAATGGTAAACTTTCATTATGCTTTCTAGTGCACTTTACAAAGAGACAGTTCAGACAGTCGACGGAAAAATAAGCAATAGTTTTCAAGGACATTTTAAAGTAGAAAAGTTTATATACAGATTCGATTTGTTTCAACTTACCTGACCACGAATGGCTGCAGGGACACCTTCCCAAAAATACTGTCTCATTTTTTTCGGTAGGTAGCTTGATTTCAAGTTGACCAATATACTTTGACGCCATATTTTCAGTAAACCATGTTGTCTCTCTTCTTTAAATGATACATCACCAGTAAGAATCGCATGCGATCTTTGTTCGTTTGGCTTTTCTTTGCAAAAAGAGATAAAGGAATGCCCATGATTTTTTATTAAAGAGGAGGGATTTTAGTTCTTAGTTGACAAGTTTAAAAAAATCACTTTTAGATGAAATTGTGATTCATCTGATGAGACTAAAACTGAGTGCATAGGTCTGTAATCTAGTAGAATAGTGAACCGCGTAAAAAGTGATCATATTCTTCACCGCAGTAGAAAAGGAAATATTGCCTTTATCCAGAGACAGGAAATGAATGAATGGAAAAGAGACACAAAATTAAATACACGCACTAATTATTTGAATTTTATAAAAGATATTAATAAGTCAACCATAGACATCACTTTCGAATCTGATCTAGATAAACCGACGATACCAAAATGCATCAAAGCATGTAAAGTCAATCAGTTATTCCATAATGATAGATAGACAGACAAAAACGACTAGAAAGTCAGTGTGATCGCTTAAAAGTCACAGTCAGCACACTTCCCTACTGAACATCAAAATAGAAGTCGAGAAGAGGTAACATGAAAATCACAAATAAGGATAATTCAGAACATTATAGGACAGCGTCAGGGAAACAGTTCAGTGTACAAGCCAAGCTTTAAATCGCATTGAAGACAATAACTGGAATATCATTTAAAGCTTTATCCCTAAGAATGTGACTTCAGAAAACATTTTTATCTAGACATTGACAACCTTAGTTATAGATATTCCCCACTGTTTCACTTAGAATATTGATCATAGAGTCCTCAAAAGAAATTAGAGGACCGAAGTTTCAGTAAAAATTTAAGGTAGTTACGCTACATTCACAGCCAGAAGACTGAAAACATTTGTGATTTGTTCAGTAATGGTGACAGAAATAAGTGTTGCCCTATGTCCCTGATATAGAAGATACATCTCAATGATACAAGGACCTAAAGTCACTTTTTGTTCAGCAGGCATTTCTATCTCTCTTCAAAGGGATGTGTACTTTATAGTTTTGAAGTGTGTTAACTTTCAAACACTTATCACAACGGCTGTAGCATAACGGAAGAGAAAGTGATGAAATGTAGTGGTTTATGTATTCGGCGAAAATTACCATTTACACACTTTAGACTCAAGAAGAAAATAAAATGTGGAAAAGATCTGCCAACAAGTGATACATCCGATACCGATGATAGTAGGAGAGACAGAAGTGCGAAAGAAGAATTCGGTGTGAAAGCCTATCAGTTCAAGTTGCCAGGATTCGCAGCAACATACAAGGTAAAGATAGTTAGGAAAGAATGACAAGATTTGGACCGAGGCTGGATTCAAGCCGGAGACCACCGGGTTTCTGGTTTGATGCCCTACAGAGTGAGCTACAAGGTCCGACTACTGACCCTACGAAAACGTTGGTGATTGAAGTGGAATAAAAATCTGGTCAGCAGTAGGAAGTCGTAGCTCGGTTGGTAAAGCATCAGGTCGGAAACCCAGTGGTCGCTGGTTCGAATCAGGTCGTGTTCCAAATTTTCACTTCACCTTCAATCATCACTCAGTATCAATTCTAGTCTAAAAAACCAAGGCTATCTCAGATAGTCAAAAGTATAATGACATAAACGTAGGCAAAAATATATGAGAGTTGACAGCATAAATAGATGAAGCTTGATAAAGATTTTTAAAACCTCGGTAACAAAGAGTGCCATATATTTACCCCATTATGGTCAATTTTAATCCATATCATAACGAGTTTCCAGTCATTTTCGGGACTGCAACCAGCCTGTCTACATCTCCCTAAACAACTGAGACTAACGGCTAAAGACTTCATGGACTAGCACCCTTTCTAAGAAATACATTTAACACCGTATAACAAAACAGGCGGTATTTGAACACAATAAATATACTCCCCTTGAAATGAAGCTGACCCTACCGTCGAATTCACACAAGTTCCACTATACATACCTACATATTACAGGTTGTATAAAAATTCCGTTTATAATCTCGTGCTAAAGTAGTGTTACTGTGAAGCAGACAAAATAGCTTGATTTAGTGCAGAGTAGTTATACATAGATTGATATCAAGCACACAGTACATGAATATATAACACGACTTCGATATCTATAAAGAGATTACCACTTATAATATTCATATACTTCTAGTGTAGACGCAGGGAGCGTATGGAAAAAGAACTACTGTGTATCCGTGATATTCTAAGTGAAAACGGATATCCGGATAAGTTCATCAAAACTAACATCAACTACATTTGTCCTAAACAACAAATGATGACAGTAGGGAAGAAGTCTTTGTTTCTGCGATTACATTTCTACGGAGATGTTTCAAGTGACATTCTATCACAGAGTCTGGGTACAGCAGTTAATACGAAGTTTTGTGCATGTCGGCTTTGCATATCATTCAGTAGTCGGCCAATGCTCAATCCCAGACTAGAAGATAGCCTACCTAATCTTAACCCTTCATCTTGCATATATCTATTTAACTGCTCCTGTAAAACTAGTTACAGAGGGCTTAAGATTAGGTAGGTGCATCTCCAGTCACGGGAGCATTTATGAGCTCGGTTCGGAAAGGGCTAAGTGAAAGTGATGAAAAGTTCAATTCTAGCGCATTTAGTCGACACAGGGCATCACATAGATGCTAATAAAGCTTTCAATGTTGCTCATCGTATTCAAAAAACAATGCCATATGTAGCTCTCCAACGCTTGCTTAACATAGTGGAGGCTGTCGCAATAAGACTGATTAAGCCTGAGCTCTGCATTCTGAAAGAACATGTTTAAGCGTTACTTCTCCGTTGGCCTTCAGCAAACTGAAGGCCACTCCTGCCTTTTTATTCGTTATCTTTTTGTTCACCAGTATTTCATCCCTCTGTATATGTATCATCTCAATGGTGACTAACTTAAAAAAGATAAAACCATTTCCTTGCAACCCTTAAATCCCACTCCATTTTGAAAATGTACTTCCCCCTGACATGGCTTGCTTTTATGGTGTACAAATGTATTTTATAATTTTAGAACCTGAAGAGAATTTATTGATAAGAATATTCTTCGTTCATATTGTTACTTTTATTGAGAATTATTTGATTGACTACAAGCTTGGTGTACAACCAAGGTTTAAGTAAACATACAACACAAAGATAATATAACTGTACGAAAAAACAAATAAAAATAGTGGAAAAAAGACCGTTTGAACTCATAAGAAAACGTCTCAGAGGACTCATCAAAAAGTTCTCACTACTTCTTTGCTAGTTTTTAAAACTTGAAGACATTAAAAACTACAGCATTACTGAAAGTACCCTGAGTTCTGAATCATACTTGATAACATCTCAGTCTAAGTGGAACTTATTTATTATATTATTATTTTTCCCTAGTCATCCTAGTGGAACATAGGACTCCAGTAGCACGCCCCCATTGCACCCTGTCCTCTACAGTCTTCACAACCTGGCGTCACAACTGCCCATAAACTTTCATTTCTTCCTCACATGATCTCCTACATGTCACCCTCACATCGGAAGCCCAACTCTTCGTTTCTCCTTTGGATTCCACTCGAGGGCCTGGCATGGCGCGTGTTGTCCCCAATCGGCCTTCCCAGTGTATGCCCAATCCATCTCCACTTCCTTCCAGTGCATATTTGTTGGGCGATGGGTTCTTGGTTGGTTCATTGCCGGCCACAGTTCCTTGTTGCTTATTCTTTCTGGCCATCTGATCTTCAGTGTGAGTATCGAGTGACTGTAAGCGGCAGCTGTTGACGGATGTCTGTAATTTGTTGGAAGTGCTTCTCGTGGCGCGCCAAGTTTCCGAACCATATAGCAACACTGACTTGACTGACGTTGGTGTTGAAAATCCGGATCTTGTTCACGCTTTATGCTGAGTACAGTAGATCTCCACACTGATTTCAGATTAATGAACGCCTGTCTTGCTTTTCCGCTCCTGGTTTTGACATCCTCACCTGTGCCTGTGTTGCCACGTGTTGTTGAAACGATGCTGCTCAGGTAGGTGAAAGAGACTACTTCCGTTAGGTTTCTCCCGTTAATGGTGATTGCAGTTTGTTGTTGATGCTGTTGTTGGCTAGGTATCATCATCACCTCCGTCTTCTCCAAATTCACTTAAAGTCCCGTCTTCATTCGCTGTTCTGCCTCTTCTGTCAGCTTGTTGGTTTTCACCTGTAGATCTTCAAGTTTGTCCCACAAGACACTAGACATAAATCATCATTGGCAAAATCCAAATCTTTTCCTGGGGTATTTTCATCGGTCCAGCCAGTGTATGCCCATTTCCTCGCTCCTCACTGTTTGCTGCATGATCCAGTCCAGTGCACCACAATCAGGAAGATCATGGGTGATGGTAGGCAGCCCTGTTTACTCCTTCCTGTATTCACTACAAAGGTGTCTCTGAGCTTTCCATTGTGGATCACTTGGCATGCATTCTATATTATTTGACGGTGCATAAACTATAAACTTCTTCCTTCCACTGATAGCTACACCCAAGTCAATTGTAACAATAAATTTTCGGGCGATATCGAGGCATCCGCATCAGAACCCATTTGTCAGAAGAGGTCGATCGAGTATAACAACGAAGAATTACAAGCATCAGTAAATAACAATTCCTTAAAGTCTTTCCAATTCCAACATGCTATATCATCGAAGATGGTGATTCAAAGTAATCTGACAATTCATGTTTTAATTATATGTACTTAAATAACTATCATTGGATACCACAAATACTAAGAAGATAACGATAATTTAAACAGAGTCATCTAACATCAACTTGGAATACTTAATTCTTTCAGGTATAAACTTTACACTGAAGAGAGGCAAATTTAATCTCGTAAAACCATTTGAAAGCCACTAGATCACTGAAGATGGCTCCTATTCTGGCTTTCACACCATATATGATTCATTTCTTGGTGTCCAAGTTGTACCAGGTTCGCATCCGTATTTAAACTACGAATCGAAAATCTTACTTGCTGTCATACATATTTGTTGTCAGTGAAAAAGATTATGTAATCGGGGTTTTCCAACTTTTCTAGTTGCACATCTCGTATTCACCAGTCCCATTTAAGTGCCTGGCATTTACTTTCTTTCTACGTCTATGGAAGTAACTCTACTATGCAAAGTTAGTGATGAAAACAGTTGTAATATAACGTTTTGAAAAGGAGAGCTGGTCCTCTCCAATCTGAGATTTAAGGGGGCATTCAAGTGAGAAACTTAATTATCAAGGATACGTCACATATAGTCTATGACTGCTGAAACCCGACTGGACACAGCCGGTAATAGCCTGTACCCCAGTGATAGTAAATTAACCACTGAACTGCATCTCTATAAACAAATCCTTATCAAAAATATTATTGAATGATTTAGTTTGTCTAAATTATATAACTGGTTTCTTGATATAATCTCTGATTGTATTTTTCAATTCCAAAGCACAGTGGCTAGAATAAGGAAGATGGGTTGCAATGAGTTATGAAGTCTGTTAATGATTGTACAAATTAAAATCTGAATATGAGTTATTTACGCCTTACCTTTCATCCCCGAACTTGCAACCAGGTTGTTTTTCAAATCGTCATTATACTTAAACATATACGAATAGTTTGTTGAACAAGACTATTACTTATATTGAATAGAAATGAGGTATAACTGAATGATAACGATAACACCATAAAGTCAGTCAACGCGTGCACTTGTCCACCATGTCAAAACTACGTCTGGGTTATCATAATTACCTGGTTTCTGAAACACTGGTAAGCAGAGTAGGTCTGGCACCCGAATTCAAAGGATCTGATTTCGGTGCTTGAACTAGATAATAATTTCTTGAAGCAAATTTCCAGACATATAGATAGATAAATGGATAGACAACTCAACGTAAAATACACCCTGATATAATAACACCTACAAATTATGCCAGAAGAAATATAAGATCTGTAAAATATTTTTGGTAGGTATACAAAGAATGTGAATATTATTAGAAACTAGTGGAAATACTTTTAGCATGTTGTCGAAAAGATCAATGAAAACCTGATACTCTAAAAATACTAATAATAAGATCTAATACACATCATACGATGATAGCAGTAGTGGTAGTTGGAGATTACTATGATCTGTTATTTACAAAATAGATTGGGCGATTCAAATACACCATGATCTAGGTAAGATCACTAGAGTTTATGAGATAGGAAAATGACGATTTTTTAAAAATTTAGACGGCTTATCAAGGGATCAAATGTTTAACCTGCTATTGGTGAATTGCTCGAAAAAGGTTGCTTTTCAGAGGTTATCAGGAATCCAACTCGGGTGTACGAACAAATGGCAGTTAGTAAAACTGACGGACAGTCGTAGATACTCATAAAGCAAGTGCTGAAAATTGAAATTCATAACAGTAACAGTGTACGAAACGAGAAGACTGTGACTCAAGAAGGTATGTTTATCACTGACATTTTGTACAGCAATCATTAAATATTGCACACTTTCCACTAAGACAGTCATTTGCAAGATGTGCTTCATTTCCTCTTCTGCTTCTATCTTGATTTGCCCTGAATACGCCCACCTTGTATCTTGTGTTTCTTTGGGCAGAATCTTTGCCTATTGCTGGTAATTCCCTATGATTTCTGCCGCCCTCTCAACACATCCTACTTATATTCATTCTGATCAGCAGCTCTCACTACAATAGCACTTATATTCATCTTGGTGACTAGCAGTAAAATATAAGACATTTTTTGTCCTATTTGTGACTCTTTAGTTTGATTTGCCTGCACTCCAGTGAGTGATGTTTTTCCCTCTTGAGATTCAAACCCAGTAACCATTACTTCAAACGTCAAAGAGTTATCCACTAGGCCATTGGAGAACGATAGCCACCTCTTGTGCGAAGGGGTATCAGTTGTGGTTTCGGTACTTGCAATTCCTTGTGGCTATACAGGGCAGAATTGCTCGATCACTGTTGCCATATGGGCTTTTATTCCGATGTCTCGGTGATGCCGGTTATTCACGATGTTATATTCATCTTGGTGACTAGCAGTGAAATCCAAGACGCGTGTTTCATCCTATTTGGGGCTGGTCTACTGGATGTACCTGCACCCCAGTGAGCTATGTTGTTCCTCCTGAGGCTCGAAACCAGTACCTGTGCATTTGGCCGACGAATCCGAAATAGAGCGAAACGCGTATCATGGATTCCACTGCTAGTGACGAAGATGGATACAACATCACGAATATTCAGGGGCATCGATACATCCGCTTAGGAGTCCATATGCCAACAGTGGTCGAGCGATTCGGCCTCGTATAGCAACGGAGAATTAGAAGTATCAAAATAACACTTATACCACTACTCAGCAGGAAAGAAATACCAAAGGGAACCGATCGTTCTAATATAAACCTAATGTAAGTATTCTGTCACTTTTATTTATCATCACTACACATAAAAACAAGTGAGTCAAGCAGCAGCATAACAGATAGTTAAGCCATGGAGATGCAAAGACCTAACTAATCAGGTGGTGTGATGACGTAGAAACATCCTTGTCTTCAAATAAAATGATAATAGGATGGAACATTGAATAACTGAAGTGAAACCGATAGTTGGCAATAGGGCTCAGTTGTAGGCAAGCCGGGCTTCTGTTAACGTAAAAGTCATTGGATTAAATTATCCTGTGAACAAAGTTAATTCATTTTTTAACATCTCCAAAAATGTAATTTTGTCGTTCGGAATGACTATCGCAAACATCTGAACAAAAATAGCATACAATTTGTTAACGGAAACTAGGAGTTGTATTATCACTGCTAAGGATTTAATACTGATGAAAAATAGCCACTCATTATTATCTCAAGTTTCCAGTAATTATTCAACCACCATAAAGTTTTGGTGAAAAATGCCCTCAGGAAACAACAAACAATAATCGAAGTAAATATTTAAAGAGAAAAATTTTATGCTCAGCTTTCTATTTTAATTTTGTTAAGTATCATACTTTAAGAAGGCGACTTACTTCTCTCATGGATAAATGGTTGAAGTCTAGAGTGTTCAAGACCATTTTGCTGTATTTCCTCTTGTGACTTCCATGATGAGCCACTATATAGCAATAAAAAAATGCAAAGTACATTGTTTAAGATCATGCTTCTTGTGAAATCAATTTATCCTGAAATGGTTTCATTAAGAACTGTTCTTAGCTGAAGAACTATTAAACGTCAAAATACCCTAGCTTCTGACTCCTGGACAGAGTAGACAGGTAAATTTTCCCAGGGATCAATGTGAAACATTTCCGCTTTTTCAAGGACGCCAACTTATTCGCTATGTCGCCAGTCAGTTAACAAATCATCTACATTTATTACAGCCACCACTTATCGAAAGTATGGTCAGGGAATCAACAGATTCAAGACTAATGGTACGCATCGCTACGAAATCTTAGATTTGGAAATTGTTTCTGGTTCTTCCTAGTATTCAGTAGTTTTCCAATTCACTTTAAGTCAGTCAGTTGTTGAAACCGTTACACAAAGTTATGGAGATATCGGAATTGTAAATATATAAACTCTTGGCTTCAGCGTTAGTCTTGATGGAGTGAAAATGAAAAGTGGCAATGACCAGTAACGCAATATACGAATAGAATAAACTTTTTGAAAGCGTAAATATGTGATACCACATCTAATTGGTTATAGAGAATGATTATTTCAAGAAGTGTTGATCGGCTAAACAGCTTGGTTGTATGTTGTCCGAAACCACTGCTGGTAAATTCAGTCATTATAAGTAAATTTATACTGCTGTTAAACAACTACTTGCGAAGTCACTTTAAAGCTACTAACCACACCTAATGTGTGAAAAGTACCGATATTAATTGACTGCCCGATTTCGTTAGATACAGGAAGATTCCGGACTATGAGTCCTTGGTTGAAAGTCTACAGCATAATACAGTGATCCACAATTCTACCGGGATAAGACTTCTGAGAATACTGTCTAACTACTTGCTTTGCTGAATGATAGAATTCACTTCAACCTCATCTTTTGCAACATTTAGATTCATTTTCGAACTGTGAGGTACTATTCCTTATACGAGTAGCGAAATTACGCTTACTCTGTATTATACCGAGTAGGATTTTAATTCAGTATATTGTTGCTGTTTTTTGGATAGGTTGTATTTGATTGCGTCTTGCGTGCGGTTGAAATTTTCCGCTTTACCCATACCGTGAAAGGCTATTTCTTCTTAAAGTACCTGAAAGAGGAAAAAACTTGTGTGACCGCAGATCTCATAGGACATCTGCATAGGGCCTGTCAGACGTAGTCTTATACGGGTTGCATTGAGATTTGGTTGTTCTAACGCTGAACAGAGAAAACACATACCACCGGCACTGGAAGACTGAGGAGCAGGGAGGAGTGTGCAATTTTTTTTAACATCTGCCCATTTCCACTAGGAAGGCAGTACCAGTGTGGCACTGCTGGTCATCCAAGGGAAACAATTTAATGCTGCCACACCCCAGACAGTCAGCAGTACGAATTCTCCCTCAGCCACCCGTCCACCATAGTGTAGTAAGTTAAACTACAACGGTAATTGTTTGTCATCTTGACACTATGCAGCAGATCTTTCTGCTATGGTAGGATCTCGAGGGAAAAAGCGTTCCAACCAGAGTAGCTCGTTGGGTTATTGTGATATGCAAGCCAGACCACTACGTCAAGGTAGGAGGCATCGGCCGGGTGTTGCTGTCTGACAACTTTCATATAAGTTTGTTTGCGATTGGTTTAAAGTGCTACCTAGTTAGGCCATGTAGCTTTGTTTCTTGGACTATGAGCAACACCCGCCTTGTAACGGTTAATTATGCTACCTATCCGCTAAAATCTAAGTAATCATAGTGGTGTGACTCAACCTTGTACCACCCACATTCATTGTGTGAGGGCCTATCACTTGAAATTCGGTGCTTTAGGCTAATCTAGTCACCATTTTGGTAAATGGGGAGTGTTTCTAGACCAACGACCAACTGACTGAAAGCTGAACATCCAAACCTATGAAATTCAGTCATGCAGAATTAAAAATGAGGCAAAGATGTGGGTTAAAATGTTTGTGTACTGAGCTCCTTACCATATTCACAAGATGCGGTCGCAATCAAGATATTCACACGCTGTTGGATTACATATGGAGAAATACTTATCCGAATCTATGCATATATTAGTCTGATATCATGATTTCAATTACTGAGATGGCATTTGAAAATAACAATACCACTAACAGGAATAATCGTCAAAACGTAATACATGCTGCTAATGGATATAGACACTCAGAGGTTAGGCTAGAGTAAATAAAATCAGTGAGCTATAATTTCGCTAAAATGAGCTATTAAGAGGGTGTACAACTACTAGCTATGTGTCACTCCAATTTTAGTGCACTTATTAGGCAAGTACTTGATTTTTTATAATAGGTGGTCGAAATCCAATATACACCACTCTCCAAATCATCGGCAAATTGATGTAAAACTAATGTACAACAAGCAAATTTTAGCCAGGTATGATTTTCATTTTAGTCGGTCGGTGATATGCCAAGTTATGACTTGAATAGAAGACATATTAACTGTAGCACATTCCATCGCCACTACATCCATTTATTGGTTTAAGAGTTTCTTTGTAACGGGCTAGTATTATACAAGTTTATCAAAGTATTTCTGATTACTATTCACAGTTGAACAAAGGTAAAATCAAAGCGAAAGGTAGGTAAGTACTCATACACCATATTGAAAACGTAAATTAGGTTGAAGTTAAACGGTAAGCTGAAAACAACTCGGCATCTTTAACTCATTGTAATCCATCCTTTTAGAATACATTTTGTTGACATAAAATATGAATCACAGAAAATCAACTACACATACTGAATCTATGTTTAACTACTGATAACTACTTTCTTTGCTCTTTTCCTCCTGTCATCCAACCTTTTCATGTTCTCTTATCACTATTCTTGCGTTGAAAAGAATAGTTACTATCTTGATGTGGTGTTTGGTTTCGTTTATCACAATGATTGAAACAACTAAGTAGTATATGCCACCAACCCTACAACTCTCTAAAATGAATAACAACCCAGTGGTAATCAGTGACTTCAGGATAAGCTTTCCGACGTTTGAATGATACGCTGTGATCTGAGATGTCAGTCAAGTAGGATTTGAGAACAGATCAGCACTGATGACAGCGGCTAAAGAAAAAAAGGGTAAAATCAACGCCAAGGGCAACATAATACTTGATAGTATACTTACTTTGACCTATCTTGAAGGATAAGATAACTTATAGACTCAGGATGATGTATATAATGTTCCTCCTCCTTTCGTACCATTGAAGTCAGGTCTATAGAACATGAAGCAGTATGTGCGGCTTTTATCAATAGTTTGCTAGATGGGGAGAATTTAGAGAAAATCATGATTGCATAAATAGCCACGAGCTAGTAACTGATACACTTGTTATGTGAAATGTCAAGTAAGATCTGTTTGCCTTGAGTCCAGGTATCTTGATCAAGTTGTGATAAAATGTGTCTAAGCTGATGAAAAAAGGTAGTTGTGCATTGTATACCTATGGCGTTGCTTATCAGTGGACAGAAAATGCCAGTTTATGATAGCTTGTCAGTCGTTGCCGAACACCCACCACGAGATACAGAGCACTTCGACATTTAGTATAGTTATGTTCATTAGTGAAATGGTAGGTTTTTCTATTGACTTCACTAGACAATATATCTACTAAGCGAAAAAATGGCAGTTTTCATATTAATAGGTTCGAAGATCACTAAGAACTCGCTTGAATATGATGTTCCCTTCATTTCCGAAAGCTGATTTTCATTCTGATATAACAGAAGTTGCATTGTTTTGTTTTTTGTTTAACTATTTTATTAAGGGATTCAGTTTTGTGGTCTATGGTTGCAAGAATGCGGGGGAACTAGGATCACTACTTACTGTTATTCTTGAAACGCCAAATAACGTAGTCTAGAAACTGTCGAGTTCCCACACAGTGCTTTCCACCTTCACTGCCAGACACGAAATTGTGGAGTTTGTTCAAGTAGCGGTGTAATATACCACTGAAAACGTCAGGAACTTATACATATGCTAGTAGGCAATCTAGCATTTGTCTAAGCAGTCTCCAAGGGGGAACATGAGTCTGTGTTAGTAAACATAAGAATTCAAACAAAAAAAGAAACTTAAAACCATTGTTAACCATATTTGTAGGCTTAAGTCGACCCCTAGCTCAAAGAATACAAATGTGACTTGTATTTCTACACACTCAAGCCTAACGAGGAGTGAAGAGATCGAATTAAATAGTCTATGGACACTATTCATTTATGGTAACTCATTCGGCTCTTTGTATGTTTTCATCTCATAAAAAGGTAAATGTATATAAGGGGTTACTACGCAACTCTTTGTAAACAGATAACTATAGATACCCAGCTCTGTTTGGTGATTAGAATGTAACATTAGTGCTAAAAATATAATAATAAACGTAGCGGTTTTACTTTACGTTGAAAGGTAAGTAAAACTACTGTCTGTATATAAAATGTTTGCCGGAAAATAGAGGTTACTGAGTTTGTGTAACAAAGATAACTGATCATTTACCACAAGTCAGATCCTGTTTCCTTTTTCAGATATAAATCGAAATACTGTTTGTGGTGGAAAATCACAAACACCAGTAACTCAACAACCTCATTCCAAGGAGATGAGATATTGCACTTTCAGGAAAAGCAGTCAACTTTATGGTAAGAATGTCACTGTTTCTAGAATACTTGTTTTGGTTCGGTCATGTATTAGAACAAGAACTTGTGTTTTTGTGCCCCAATGGATATAAGAAACATACAGCAGTTAAATCTTCATCTACTCAAGCTTAACGTGAGAGAAACTGTGCTTTTAGACAGACAGTGGCTAAACATTAGTCTGAACGAGGCAAAAATTCGCTTCTTGATGGAGCCTGCAATAATATTTGGTCTGTTATCAAAAAAGTGATGAGAACAGCCGGTAACCTTCAACTATAGGCTAGCCTAAGCCAGTAGGTTTCCACGACTTCACTTGAGCTGACTGATGCGAAAAGACCCATTACAGCTGTCTCTGAGCAGATTAAATGTAAAATGACTAAATCTTTCCAACGATCACTAGCAGTGGTAGACGGACAAAAGTTAACAAGATGGAGAAGGCATCAGAACTACGCAATACTTGGCAATTATTCCGGCTTACTAAGAAACTAACAAGAATAAAAGATGGTTAGTGAGATGATCTCCGAAAAGGAGAGGACCGTGGTAAACTTCCAGTACACCTGGTTAAAATATTGGGCGTAACATTTTGAAGAGCAGCTCAAACGACTTAATGTCTTCGTATGTCAACGAGCATCACAATGACTAACATCATACTGAAGATTCTAGGGCCCACAGTTATATGATACCTAAGTGGAACTCAAAAATGTGTCTCGTAAAGTAAGCAGGTTTGAAACCTGGATGAGACTGCATCGGTCAAACATTCACACTTAAACAGGTTCTAGAACACAGGCACACTTGCTGGCAACCGACATATGTCATATGTCTTGGTCTAAAGGCGGCATTCTACTCTGTTGACCGAGAGATGTAGATCTAGAAACCAAATCGGAAGGAAGTACTGGTGAAATACACAATTCTATTGAAAGATCTTAGCCCGAACACAGGCACATATGAAAAGATGTTTGGGAGTTGTCGGCTGAAGTGATGTCAACCAGTAGTGTTAGATAAGGATGCTCATTGTCACCATTCTTGTTTAGTTTTACACACAGAAAGTGATTTCGAAGTTAACTCTCCAATCACGCACACTTCCGTGCAGTAGACAATGAGTCACACCTATTGCGTGAGGGCTAATGATACTATCTGGTTGCCAAGACCTCGGTGGATGGAGCAGAGTTCAAATCTGTGACTCACCACCTGTAAACCAAGTAATTAAACCAGTGAACGTCAGTCCTGTCTTTATCGCAGACTTGCTAACCATAATTACCCGCAAATTCCGAAGGACTGACTTGATTCTAGGATAGCACTCGGTTGATTTGGAGAAAGCGAACGACATGGTTTAGTTAGGTGAAAACGCTGACAAAAACCATAGTTTTCTGAACACACTAATCAGAAATTTAGTAAGATTAACATACGTCTCATGCTTGTCAGGTGTTAGATGACTCTGTTAGGACTCTTAGATTAAGAAGAGTGAGGTGGATAGAAACGTTGACAAATTCAGCTACTTGCACAGTTCTAACAACTCCAAAGGGTTGGTTATTAGCTAAAACTCATCTTTAGTATGAAAGGCCTTTCCAGCATGTGCCAAATTAGCCATCTCTGGAGCTGACATGATATCCAGCTACCTATTACAAAATGACTGTAATGAACTGCAATCATTGCCATCCTGTGAGATGTGGTCGAAGTATATGAAATTACATATTTTCGATCACAGGTGTCTTCGTAGTATCGTTCGTATGTTTTGGACTCACTACGGAATACCTCAGCGCACAATGATAGACCATGTGGGATTAGAATGAAAAAAGGCCCTAGGCAACCAGATCAAGACATGGCACCAACTTATGTAGCATTGACTGTTGATCTGATCCCAGTGGGGATTAGTAGACTGGCTGGTTGGAATTACTGTCTGGAGATCTTTTGTAATAAATTTCATAATCCTTTGCAATAGCGCAGATGTGCACACTCTTTGTTATCTTCAAAATCTTGAACACTGCTAATTTCCACTTATTTCCTTTCTGTTTCTCTCACAGGACTTTCGTCCACTTTATATGACTTTTCTGTTCACATATCTCTCTCATAGTGCGGCAACTTGAATAGATACACTCGTCTGGGACATCCTACGTTTATTTGTTTCCGTCTAGTAGAATGTCATCCCATGATCTTCGACTGCAGTTAGGAGCTGCTTGTTTGAGTTAGACGTCCAATAAATTTTCAGCAATTTAAGTCATAATCAGAAAGACGGATTGCCATCAACCGAAAGGGAGTTAATGCATCAGGGTCAGAATTTCAAGACAGACATAAAGCTTTAGGAGAATACAGGTTAACCATATTATTATAATGTATATTCTCAGAGTGAGTAAATTAAATTCATTCGAAACTTAACTTACTTTATGAGAGATGGACCATTTTTACTTCGATCCAGTGAACCCCATAAAGAGTGTTCGCCACTAACTATTTGTGTACCCATAGAACCCACTTTGGATTTGTTCTGGTCACACGCAGTTTTCTACACAGTTTAACGACCTTGAATAAATAAAAGAAATCTCCTCTTGCATAACTACAGCTAGTAAAGTAACTTATCATAAGAGAAGCAAAATGTTAAGCTAAATCTGCTGACTATTAAAAGTATAAATTTATGATGCACTGAGGTGAGTGTTTATAGCATCTAACACTAAACTTGAAAGAACAACATTTTATCTAGACCACAAATTTGGCACTTCACGGGCGCCAAAGATTTACCATACAAAATAATGAAACAACACTATGGAAAAGCAAAATGTGGAAGAATGAAAATCAACAGAGAAATGGGTTGTTAAATAAGCAGTCTCAAAAACGTCCGAAGGAGCATTCATAAATTTAGACATTTTACTTTCCAGTAATAAAAGAAAAAAAAAGGTTGTAGCATGATGTCCACTGACTTTATGAGTCATAACTATTACTGTATCAATTCAATGAGTTGAATGATCTTCCACGCCCCATCCAGGGAGTTGTGGGGCAATTTCGGGTAGGAACCTGACGTTTTGAAAATGTTTCATAACCAAGATTGAGAAAACATCCAGCAGTACTACTTTTTGCCGATGAGAATTACTATTCGATGATATTACGCATAACTGGTTTGGGATCTGTATAAAAAGCCTAAACCGATCACATTAGCGTAGGCATATTCGCTCTTAATCTTCGAAGTTTTATGCATTGTAATAATCCACTTTTATGTATACCAACCACTTTTCATTTTTGTAGGTTTCATCTGTGTGCTGTCTTGAGCTAAAACACATAATACACTTGTACAGACTGAGTTTTTAGGGGACCCTCGTAAGCTTATTCTAGCAGTATAAGCGCATCAACGGACTGAAGAAACTTGAATAAATATGAATGCATATAAACATCAGTAATATAAACCATGTTCATTAAAGTAGGCATTACCGGTAACCTATTGCCTGGCTGCCAAATCCAAGGAAATGGACCAATGTAAGAAACTTCTGCAGATAAAAAGCTAGTAGAGACCAGCCACTAAAACTAGGGCCAACTGTGGGTTAATCTGAGCTGATGAAAACCCCAGAATGAATGTCATAAAACTATATAAGCCTTACGTTGGTCCTATGCTTTTACTATAAGACGGTGTACGATGTTTACTTGTCATTACGCTGTAACGCTGAACTCAGTTCTCAGGGCTATCACTTCATACTTTTAGATTTACAGGCCTTATTACAACGGTGATGTCATGGTAGGTGGATAGGCTACGTATCTGATGATCAATGAAACCTACCTAATTTTAGGTCTGAATGTGGTAGCACGTTAATCCAGTTCTAAGAAACTGCCTTAGTTGAAACAGGATCAACTGGCGCTTATGAACCTAAGTGTTATGTGTGCAGACATCGATAAATCGGCAGTACTTTTATTGACAATAAAAGATTATTTGGTTTATTCGCAGTCATGATTGTCATTGAAGTCATTTAAATTTTCAGTGAGGGTGACTGCATTTGCAGTGCTCCAAATCTGGGCGTCTATTAAAAAGATTTTGTTTATACACTCAGATAAATATATAATGAAGGAAATTTCGTGAGTTTACTTGGGTGAAAAGTAAGGACTATACTGCTTATATTGCTGACAAATCGTGTCTAGATGCAACAGTTTTTTCTAACTTGCCTCGCACTGCATTCTGCATCATGTACCTTGGTGAGTTTTGTAAACATAAGTCACTTACTAGTGTATAAGAGTTTTTATGTCAATCTGCTTAAGAGAATCAGGTCTTTTTCAACTCCAGCATCTCTCAGAGTAAATTATTGTTGGAATATTCACGACAGAAAACTGAAAACGTTCCTAAAATGTTGCCAAAGCTGAGTGGTGCTGTAAAATCTGACCAGTAAACGTCATGCCTATGTTTTGTTTTCTTCAGACGCCAGAAACCGAAATTCTTCTGCGTGATTCTAGTTTCATCTAAACTTTTGATTGCCAAAAAGCTATTTCGTTCGCACAGGAAAGACCGAAGATTAACTGCATGATAGACTCAATATAATGTGGTATTACGTGTCGCTGTAGATCTAGGTAGGGTGTACATAAGTAGGGTATTGCCTGTGCTTAAAAAGCAGGGCGTATATGCCAATATCAATAAAAGTTCGTGGGCTACCTGAATAGGTAGACAATGTGAAAACCTCTGTAGATGATGGGTTGGTCTGAGAGGATAAAAATTCTCATTTATTCGGTGTTTCATGTATCTACCCAATGGACCTACAAATACACATCCTGTTAGAAGTGTCTAGTATGGAATTGCTGTGAAAAGCATGTAGTGTCATTCGTATAACATGAAAATAAACATTGAATCGAAATGAACTGGGATTTGCTGGCAGCCGAAAAAGTTGAGACATTTTCGGAGGAAAGAGCGCTAGGTTCACCTTAAAATGTGCAACACCAAACCAACAAAATTCCACTAAAATCTTAAGAGTACACTCAAGACTGTATCTGACATGTGGCCAAATTTTTCTAGATGCATTTGAAGAATGTGGCGGCAAAACTGTATATGTGAACTTCTTGACACGGAACTATATTTTATCTAACAGCGACTGCACATACTAAGTTTAACATGAATAAATTCTGAAATCTTGTGCAAGACGGAAATAATCTATTTTCGTACCCAAAAAAGGACCGAAAACATTTTACGTACAAAAGCCACAATTAAAGACGACTTCAGTCAAAAGCGAGATATAAAAGCAGTCCAACTATAGAATAGGATATTATATGAGAATTCAAGCACTTCATTTCCGAAGAAGAATTAGGAATTTAAAATCATCGATAGTACGTAACGACTAACTTGCAAAAGTCAAACTGACGCTCTTACCAGAAGGCTTAAATCAAATTAATCAAACACATACAATCCATTGTTGATAGTGCTAGCATAGAAAGCTAACAGTTTTTGATCTCTCGCATCTAGATCCCAAAGCTTGGTTTGAGTTGTTCGGTTTGTTCCTACAGCGGACAGGGAAATGTCTTCTGCTTTCGTGCCTTAAGCTCCTAGGAGGTGGATGTTTTAGGGCTAGTAAATATATTATTCCATCTGACTACGGTATTGCATTCTTCCCTGGTCTCGCGTTCTAGGGCATATAACCAGTACGAATACTCAGCAATTGACCTCTACCCTGCCAAGTTCGTACAAGGACAATTCCTAAGTGGTAAAAGTGGATGGCATAGGTCTAGTTGCTAGTGAAGAGTTAGTAGATAATGTTTGATTATCAGGAACAGAGGTCTTAGGCGGTGAGTAGGAAGGAAATTTTGGTGAACTGCTAAATCTGGCTACTCCCTGAGCACAGTTGTAGCAGACCAAGCTAAATGACATGACCGTCTAACCGTCTTCTGAATGAGTCCGCCGAAGAGGCTGTGACAACATCCGGTAGTAGCGCATTCCATGAAGCATATACCCTTAGAGAGGGGAAGGTGGAGCAGGGCGTGATGTCAGACCCCTTATGTGCCACAATGATGGGGTTTCCTCGTGATGTCTGCTATGTTGCAGGCAAGGCTGACTTGTCTGCGTGGTCTGCCTGATATCGTAGGCCTCCCTCGTAGCCAGTGTGAACCGGTTAATTACTTTGGACCGGTCTCTTGGTGTTCAGAAATGCTGACAAATTTTCGGTCCACCTCAGTGTAGCAAATCTGACGACTGCAGCATGGTTCAACGTCCAATATTTTTCACTAGCGTATAGGAAACTGATAGTTTCTAGGCTTCCGGAGTCACTGCCTGTTGACTAGTTTCCCAAATTTTGTGTGCTTCCCCAATGAACAAATAACCTATTACCACTATTCCATGTTAAGCTACCAATGAGGCAGATGTCTACACGAAATGTTTTCCTATAAGGTGTACAGATTGGGTAGGCTGAGCAGACAGAAGACTGTTGAGAAGGATGATTACCTCATGAACTACTTCTGTGGAGGAGTGGTAGGAAAAGAGGAGCCGGAAAAAGCAATTTGTTTCTGTGGCAAGAAGGGTAGTGGAACTATGAAATTATATATAACTTTCAGGGTTGAATAAAATATTGAGGGAGGAAGGAGACTGGATCGCGCAACTCCTGAGGTAAGCGAGTAGATGAGTGACTTGAGGGGCAAGTGACCCCCTCATTGGGCTAATGATGAGTCTTATATGGCATTATTATAGGTGCAAAATTTCGGTACTGCAGTGGAATATGATTCCATATTGAATGTGTCCATCTGACGTAGCCCACGGTGAAATAGTATACTTTACATGACGTCTCGAGCACAAATTATTGTCCATAATCATATCACATCACACTGCACCGATATGATTGTGTATGGCAGAGAAAGACACTGATAATGTTAACAAATGTCGGACTCATATTTTTAATTGATTCTTTCGCCGAACGAAGATTTTTCGACGTTTGAATTCCGTGGTTGTTGGTGTTATTAGCCCTGACTGTGACGAATACTCTGCCTGCTGGCAGAACGGTGAAGTCATACCAAGCAGAAGTATTTTTGGAGATTTTACTGATGTTCGTTTACAGATTTTATAGTTAGCAATAGAGAACGTACAAAATAAGTTTGTGAACTGCTGGTTCCCCGTAAGGGGCTGTTCACTATTTTCTGGTGTTCATAGTGTTACGACGTTGCTTGATCACTACTGGATATCCTACATCCCCGCATATTTTACAAAGTGTGGAAATCATCTTTTTCTATGTGATAACTGGGAGCGAACACATTAAACCGTTTCTGACGCCCACAGAAGCTTTAACTTTTTAATCCATCATTGAACTTCATCATCCTTCCCTGTGTTTTATCAAAGGAGTACGACACTCTCCCAGGTTGAAAAGGAGATACCTAGCAGATGAGAATAAGATGTGCCTTACGGAGATTTCAAAAACCGTAGAAATAATTCCAAAATGAGGGTCCATAACCAGCTGTATTGCCAGTGTATTATGCATTTACTACTTCGGTCATTCTGTTCAAACTCCTACTGGCTTATACACCGTGGAGGATTTCGGGTCTCAAACCAACTTGTCAGAGCACTTTCAAGGCGACCACGTGTTGAAATTGCACCAGAGTTTCGTAATTTTTGAAATCCAAGGAGGAACATCAACCTACACTCCCCTTAGTTGTGGCTCAAGGTGTTTTTCTGTTTTTCACTCGTTCTGACCAACTAGTCATTCCATTTGTAAATCGTTAGCTTGTATCACGGTTGGTGATGGGAGATTTAGGTTATCAGTGAATAGCGAAAATAACATCGGTTACAGGGTTGCCTCATATGTTGCTTTACAGATTGATGTCACGCGGGTAATCTGAGTTCTCCTTACATTTGGATTCAGCTTTCTATCTCGTAGATGCGTGACAAACCAAAATATTGGTGGCCGGTTTCAGGGCCTTTATGAGGAAAGTTGCGGAGCACCGTAGGACGTCCCGGTCAGATTGTGAATTTTGACACCGGCACTGATAAATCACCTCAAGTGGTTATCAGGTTGGCAACCTGTGACAGCCTGATCCCAGAGGTCGGTCAATCTGACTGAAATATCTTGTTGCTGTTGTCTCGGAAATTAAACATCCCCAACGATGTGAAAGCATGGGCTGTGACGCTACCGGTTGATAGTTCTTCTGACATTTTTGACGCTTCCATTGAAGATGGTCTGTATGGTGATGATGGAGATGACCTACCCTCAAAAAACAGGGAGATGAAATTTAGATGGGCTCATTCGGTAACCTGGAACAGTTTCTCAGGAATGCTGGTTTCCGATTATAGTAGCTGGGAGATCTGTCCAGTTTGAACCTTGAAAACGTATCAAACACCTTGCTTCGTGAGAAATAGCTTGTCTTTAGAGTGCAAGTTGCTCCGGTGACATCTCAGCGGGGATGAAGATATGCCACCACGAAACTTCAAGCTCAGGGGTTTTTCATTGATCCGAAGGCCACTCGTTGCTCCTGAATGACAGCGAACAATATCCTATGGAGGCCATTTTCAGCGAATTTTCTGTATCTGAAGTTCCCTCTTAAGCCGGACTTCGAGTTACTTTCATTTTGTCCCATCATCGCCTAACTATTCGTAACCTTAAACAAGACCTATATATAGTTTGGTGTCCGCCACAATGCGGCAGATTGCTTGAACTAGTTAGAAAGGAAAGCTAAGCACTTTATGGCCATGGATCTCACTCAACCGCCAGTCCACTGTAAAACGTTTGTGTCCTAAAACTTGCCCCACCTTCCTTCCGGTCACTATCTTCAGAGTCTTACTTAGGTGCTACTCCTATTGTAAAGAACTACCGGTAAAGACAACTCTCGGTTGTAGTATGATTTAATTCTTGATGAAGAAACATAATATCCACTCGTGTGCGCTGAGCTATGTGAGGCCGTTTTTGTGGTTATTATTATTGTCATTATTACATCATTTATGGGTGGTTCGGCCGCAATTACTACTCAGAAGACTCAGGTTACTGTTTATGCGTGGTGGCACAAGTTGATGTGTGTGTCTTCGGGCTGTTGGCACACTGCAACGTAGTGAAAGTAAATCTATTGACATGGAAAAAGGTCTATGTTTTGAAAATCTTGCTGGTAAATACGGAGCGGTTTTTATACTGTGACCGTTAGGTTACTTGATGTTGTGCGGCCCTCCTCATAATGTCCAAGATGAAAAACACAACTGTGATTAGCGAAGAGCTCATAAAAGCTGTCGTTCAAGTTTTATGCGTACGCGCTGCATAAGAAACTTTTCCGCAAGACAGGTACATGATAAGATCAAGGTAAGGTAAACATGGTATAGGTAATAACAGTTCCATATCACTTGGCTCACGCTTACTAGGACAGTGGTTAGTCCTTCATTGCCTGTATACTTTGGATACTTTGGGGAGCAAATTTATTTTCTGACATTGAGGTCGCTCAGTTCTGTATTATTCAAATGTTGTCTAATATGGGAATGAGATCAACGCTTTACGGGCCCTTGGCAGCGCAAAGATCGATAAATCAAGAGCTAGTGATTCCACATCACCGTTCTGCTCCACTATATGTTGTCGTTCATGTGTGACAACTGTTGGCTGCCCAGGACTCCTCTAAAGCAGTGGTGTCACGAGGAACAGTCAGGAACGAAACCAAGATCCAAGCACTGTAACAGCTGAAATTCAGTAATCTTGGCCTGAACGCGGAAAATAACTAGGCGGTGGCAACTAACGTGAATCTGACTAGTTCCTGCTTTCTACTGTATAGCTTCCGAACCTCCGCGAGTGACGCGCGGTCAGGAATTGGACTGAAATATCAAAACACGGTTTGTAAAAAATCAGTGGTAGATCAGTTACGAAACCTATGGTACTATCAAAGCAACAATAAGTTATATCGAAATTACAAAAATACCCCAACAGTGCCGTTGCTATGCAGTCCAAACGTTCTCGGGTGCAACTATGTACTATGCGGTGAAAACTGGTTGAACAGATGCAACTGTTAAGTACCTGACAGTCAACAAGAATATTCCCGACAAAGGGATCAAAATTCTGTCTACCAGAATCGAATCAACAAATAAGTAATCCCAGCGGACAGTCAAATCGCAGCACAACCGTGGGTTGGACCAAAACAAAACGCCGGAGTCAGTAAAACAACTTCAGGTTGTCAACGGTCCAGCGTCACATAGTAGGAAAGTGAAACATCCATGATAAGTCTCAACCATACAAAGGCAAATACTGAGTACAAAGTCAAGGAAGACAGTCAAACAACTAAATGACATTACACCGGCTAGAGTCAAGGGCACACTATCCAAAACGACGGTAAAAACATTCAAATAAATGTCAATACTATGAAATAGGGTGACCAGGAGATATTTTCGGATCATTTTTCCGTTACAGAATGACGTTTTCGTCGACATTTGATGGGTTGTCTTCTAAGATACCTCTGTATCTCAGCCAATACGTTGTCATGTCAGGGGATTTTGGCCTTAAAACTTTTACAGCAAGCACTTTGTGTTTTATTCACTGGTGTGTCTAACATTGTTTAACTGACACAACATTGAAAATTCTGTTCTCTCCCCGCTGGCATTGAATTTCTTGAGTTACTGCTAATGCGGCGATCCGCTTCACACTTCGCGTCGTATCCTGTTTTCACTCCATCTGACGCAAATGGATCGGCAGTGTTTTCGATAATCAAGCAAGTGAAAGAAGTTGTGAGACTGCACATAAATCCTAGG